CAAGGCCTCGTTTTCTAAGCAAATAAGGTGCAAACAGGAAGAACGCAGGCTTCATCTATACTCAGCATGCAAATTCTTATTGGAAGGCTACAGCAACTTGTGGCATCTTAAAAAGCCTCATTCCAAGAAAATATAGTACAGTAGTAGAAACGAATTTGAAATATATCAGTTATTCTAATCCATCATTTCTCTTGATGTTTAACATTTAGCTCAAGTAGAAAACAAGCACATGAATGTAGGAAAGAACTAAACATCCCATTAAAAAAAACGTGCCCTTGCCTGCCAGTAGAAACACAGCCGTTCCCGATTGATTCATACTGACTCATTCATGAAATGATGATGAATCTGAACCAGATGGACAGTGAATCACAGCTCAACCCACCTTGTGATATTTCTCTAGAAGATACCTGCTGCTACACGATCAGCGATGGTTATTTGGTTATTCTAAAAGTGTCTGGAACTTCCTAAGGTATAATTCCACGATGGATTATTTCTTAAGATGTTAAAGCATAATTTAGAAGCAAGGTAACTAAATTAATGGGAGAATTATTTTAACCAAAAGAAGAGAAAAAAGAAAACGACAGTATTCCCTCACTATTTTGCGGTTCGACTTTCACTCACTCGCTCTTTTGCGGTTTTTCAAAGTATGATTGAAAACGAGGGGGAAAAGTACATGACGCATGATTGTCAAATTTAAATATTACTCACATGATTGACAGTACGGGATACTATACAATAAAAAGTTAACGAAAAAAAATTATTACTTCGGACAGGCGTCGCCATTTTGTGGTTTTCTTTCATTAAGCCTACTGTATCGCCGCCCATAAGGACTACATTTCCCAGAAGCCAACAGTGCTCCGCCCAGAAGCCCCGTTGCCTTCTGCAATGTAGAGGGAAAGTTTTGATCTGATCGGAAAAGTTTGGTCCTTTACAGTGACTTAGGCGCCCAGTGGATTCAGAGAGCTGCACAGAACTGTATCAGATCCAGACCCCCAGACCCATCGGCAAACCCGAGAGCTGATAGCGGGCCAACAAGGACTTCCAAGCTGGGGCGCACAACCATAGGTCCAGCGTTCTCTCTGGAGCCCGTTGGGACTTTTTTCATCCAGATTTGGACTCAATTTGGTCCCATGCTGGCCATCCAAAGGTCCAACAACCCCCCACCCACCCCCCCACAATGCATTTTGGCGCTCAAGGGATGCACAGAACCGAAATAGAACCGGAGCAGAACTGGACCTACAGACCTATCTGCGAACCTGAGAGCTGGTATCTGGCCTACAAGAACTTCTGAGCAGGGAATGTGCAGTCGAAGGTCTGGCGTTTCCTCTGGATCCCTCCGCCACTACCCTGAGCCAGAGAGCCAACCAGAACTGGCAGGGTAGGTCCACCAAAACGGAACCAAGACCAAGTCAGAGTAGAACCGAACTGCTGTTGTTCTGACAGCTGGTGAGTAAAATTTAGTAGCTACATATAAGTATGTTGCTAACATTTTCAAGAGAGACCTGTTGAGGGAGCAGATGGGGGTTAAGGGCCTTGCTCATGGGCCCAGAGTGGGGCGAATGAGGGTGGGGGCAGGTGTGGGTGCTTCACTGAGGGACTACTCTGTATATCAAACCAGTTGTAGAGGCAATCACTAATCTGCAGACTGGTCTTGTGTCGAGTGTGTCCCCGTTTCTCTCAGAGGATAAAGAGAGATTAATGTTTTGCTCTACACCTTAATCAAGCCTTTCCGCCCCTTAAGATCCATTCTGAACTTCTTTTTTTCTACTCTCCTTTACAACCTCTGGCAAACTGCTCCTCCCCCAGTGGCTGCTGGGGGACAGGGGAGGTCGTCTGATCTCCTTAAAACAACTCCTCCCCACCTGGCAGTAGTGAATGACCACCCCTCAGGAGGGCGTGGGCCAGAGGAATGAAGGCTGTTAGACTTTCGGTTTTCACAGAGCATTATCAAATGGCACCGGGGATCAGAAAGTGAGTCCAAAGGCATGACGGATTTATTCCCTGAAAGAATTGGCAGTCTTTCAAATGTAAAAGTTGTCTGATTTACAGCTGTGTTTTGCCTCACAATGAGCTATTAATGTTGTGTTAATGATTAGCCCGGCGGTCAGTAAATAAGCCACTGCGGACAACAGATGGTGAATACTCACACAGACACACACAAACTGAACCTGCATTCCTCACCGACACTCAAGGTCAAAATGTTGAACTGGGAATTTGTAGGGGAATTCTGGCGCTCAGAAGAGAAAATTAATTTGCATCTTCCTAGATTAAACTCAATGATCAGGTGTAGCTAAACATCAGAAAGCATTTCTTAAAAAAAAGTACTGATAAATGTAATCAGTGGTACATTTGCTGACACTTAGAGGGGAAAAAGTGACCAATGCTTAAAATGATCTACATGAAAAGTTCAAAATCAAAACTATCAGCCTCATTTTAATTTTCACACGACAATACAAAAAGACAAAAAAAATGGATTTAGACCACATGTTTGAGACAAACGATAAACGTTCTTAAAAAGTTCCAGTTTAATCTTTGAAAACTCCTTCGTTGTCATCCTATGTCTTGTAAAGGACGTGCCAGCTGACCTCAGTGCAGAGGCATGTGATGACCCACTTTGGAAACTCCATCAACAATACCTCCTACCCACCACCAGCTCAAGACTTCTTCAAGCTCCTGCATACAGCGAGCCATCATATAGCTGTTTAAAATTCACATTTCCTTTAGACAACGCACACATCTGAGGTGTGAGGCCATTTGTAAACATTACCACCAGTTTGTCGGTCTACAGCTGCCCTGTTAGAAGACCATTGCAGAGTCCACAAAGTTTAGAGGCCAGATGGTTGTGTGAAGTGTGGAAGGTCAGGGAGGAACACTTCATTTCCTCAACACATCATACTATAAAGCAGGTGATGGTTTTTTTCTTCCTTTTTAGGCTTTATTATATACAGTCAATTAAACATGTTCATCTTTTGTCGTCCAATAATCACAATCTAAATAACAAAAAACATTATTACTACAACACTTGAACCTTTCATGAGGACCCTGCTTGCTGAGAAAATGTCAGCTGTGCTGCAGAGGAAGTTGAGACAGTCTTTTAAAGGTTCAAATAAGTTTCAAAGAAACCGTAAAACAGGAACAACAAAATATAATCTGTAACTAATGTGGGTAATCCACCGGAAAACTCTATGACAGGACTGTTAGTGTGCAAGGCTGTAAAAGTCATTTACATCGTAATAATCTCTTTAGTGAAGAGTGCCTTCCATGAAATACGAGGATTGTAAAAGTTTATACATTAAAATGACAATAGCTGCTTGGTCATAAAGATTAACTTATACTTTGGTCAGTTTTACAAATATATATATAGTTGCAAAGTCTTATCATTGAGAATTAGTGATGGAGTTAAATCTTTCCAAAACAGGAGTCACTGTGATCTCACCTGAGGCTGAAAGTGATTAACGCTACAGGCAATTAGGCAGAGAAAAGGGGTTTCAGTCCATGAAGCTCCTTTAACAAACCAACTCAATGCAGCCATCCCTGCCAGCATCTATCTATGTCCACAAACCAATGCCCACTGGTCTGGAAAAGCTGCAGTGAATGGAGATGATCAGTCAGTCCCCCCCCCCCCCAGAACCCCTTTAAAGCTGTACATTCTGCGCATGCAGCTACATTCCTGCTGGGGTTAAGTAGGTCAGAGGGAAGCCTTATCTTTGAGTTAATGTCTATTAATGTCTGCTGGATCCGTAGACGTTCAACTGATAGCCTCGACACCCATTTGTTTAACGTTAGAATGCATTTCACATTAGGGCCACATGGAAAATATAAATTCACATTCCATATGGGTGACGAAAGTTTAACTTTCATTAAAGGAATAAGGGGTCCCCTTCATGATGTTTGTGTCTGGGAAGAAAACGTTTTGAGTGCGAACCAATGAATGAAATACCCTCAGCTGATGAAAGAGACCATTTTGGTTTACATTACTTTGTCTATAACTTCATGGTGACATAATCCTGATGCAAAACCTTGAAAGGAGTTGTAGATGAATGATGCCAACATCCTCTTTAATGGTTTACCTTGACCAGACAGGGGGTCTTTCTTTAAGCATGTGCATTCCTCTTTCCTTTTAACATCCAATCATCACCTCACGCAGACAGCGCATTACCAACAGCTCTGCCCTTTAATTACCATCCATCCCTCAGCTGCAGGGGAGCTGGGTCTGTCACACGTTAACTACAACTTGCTCATGAGAAAATCAGTCATAAATGGTTTCAGCTGTTCCGTCTTTGCCAAAAAAAAAAAAATGCTGCAGAGTGGCCTTTAGAGAAAATTGAGAGAATTTGCATGAGGGTGGCACACGTCTCCTTTAGCCAAAAGCCTCCTCTGGCCAAAGCCAAACCAAAGGGACAGGCGTAGAGAGGGGGGAAAAGCAACCATTTACACTCTCTTCAGATAAAGTGAAAGACAAATGTGTTCAGACAAGAGGAGGGGGAGATAGTGGGTTGAAGGACACAGCAGACAAACAAGCACAAATAGTCCAGTGTCAATGCAGTGTGACTAAAGATTAAATACAATAAAATAATATGTCATCTGAGTGGCCTTTAGCATACAAGACTGGCTCTGATTATTGCATAAACCAACCCAGTTGTGAGGGATTCTGCAACGCTGGGATGTTCAGAGGGTTACAGTTTGATGAAGGAGGTTGGCTGAGCTCCACGGCCAGACAAAGAGCCACTCTGCCAGCCGAGAGCGTAGGAGGGGAGTTCACTGCTCTTTCAGCTAGCCTCTCAAACACTCTACATTTCCTCTTTTTTCATGTCAAGCATTTTATTTCCTCTTTACCTCTGCTGCAGACAGTGCTTACTGTTAGTACACCATCCTGCATAGGCACAGTAGCCATAAAGAAACAAATCGCTAATTAAAGCAGCCTATCGCTTAACATGCAATTTTATTAGAGGCATTTAGGAAAGTGTAGATCATATTGCATATTATTTCATTAAAATTACCTTCCCCCATTGGTCCCTGGTGGAAAGCAGAATGGGAGCCCTCTGGCATGGCACTCAAGCCTCTAGAGTTGACAAAACAAAAGCACAAATACTCAGACATGATCCAGACATTTTACGTCAAGACAAACAGTAAATGCAGCGAATAACCGTTTATGATTTTAGCTCAGCTGAGTTCTTTACAACGTAAACCGACTCATCTTTCTCTCGACAGCACACACACGGCTCTGGTCTTATATAAAAAGGGAAATTCTTCCCATTCCGCTGCTCTGTGTTGGCTCAGGCTTGTTCCTCTCTAATGCATGGTGAAGTTAGATTTGAGGTATGCGGAGGAAACTGGGATATAAGCTAATCAGTGCAGAAAGAGGAGTAAGTCCAACATGACAGTTAAGAGATCTGGTAATGTTTAAAGTATTGAAGTATCTCCGTAAAGGTTGTGTGATTGCACTCTAATATATCATTTTTAATAAACAGGTGAACATTCTCACTTAAGCCTATTATGGTTGTTCAAATCTGTTAAGCAATCCCTGCCACATCAAATCACTTACTACAAGTAGAAGCAGAGGGATTACAGGTTCACCTCGTGTGGCAATTATTTTTATAATCCTCTCAAAGATGAGCCGCATCTCCTTGGAGCCACTGTGCTGCCACATTCTTACAACTTTGCCTCTCGGTCCCCTTACAGCAAATTAATGTAATGCATGAGAACTGGTCCCTCTATGATTCCTGGTGAGCCTCCAGCCTTTTAAACATCACATTCTCGGGCCATTTTAGATCTGAGGAGCAGGAATTCTTCAGGGATTAGGATGGGCATTGTTCCTGTTGGATCTGCTGGCCAGTGTGCCGAGCGGACAGCCAGCCCAGCCGAGGCCAAACGGAGCGCATTGCCAGGAGTTTCACCAATTAAGATGTGCAGGAATGCAAGGATAAAAGTCAAGGAGCAGGATGTGAACAGTGGAATCACTGCTTCACTGTAGGACCCCTCCAGCTGCAGCCCAAACAAAGAGAAGTTTTGTGAACTCTGCCCGTTACAGCTAATATTTTTGCCACACAACAAAACACATTGCAATCAAATCCTTTCTAAATAAAATATAACATTCTTTGGACTCGTAACCTCTTCATTTTGTCCTTATTTTCCTTAAATTCCCCAGTTCAGAAAAATATATAAGGACTATGCACTACTAAGAAGGTGCTCATTTGTTTGCATCTCTCACATGTGCTAAAGGACAATGTGCAAAAATCCAACTATGACGTAGATATAGAAAATGGAAAGAGCAACAATGCCAAATTTATAGGGATGCACAATATCATCAGCATGGTATCGGCCGATATTAGTGATAAAGTTAAATATCGGACATTGGCTATTCCATCAAAATAACTCACTGATATAAAAGGCGCTGTTTTTAAAAAAATTTTAGATTATATATTTATATAGTGTTACATCATTTTCAGCCCCCTTTTTGGCATCTGCATTTGGTAGCAGGCCAAACTGACAAAGACCATACAGAATAATGTAGTATTTTAATTCCATAGCAGAGAAAGGTATGTAGTCTCTATAAGTAGATTTAGGAAATAAACAAATAAAATTGGTATTGGTATCGATTATCAGCCAAATAAGTTTTAACATATCGGCATATCGGTCAAAAATCCAATATTGTGTATCCCTACAAATTTGCATTGATATGTGCCAAACTACATTTTTAAACAGTTGGCACTTTAACTTGAACTAATGCCTGCAGGTTTTGACAACTGTATTAAAATAAAGGTCAATCGAGCCAACACCACAAGCTTACTTACAAGATAGAATTAACTACCGGTATTCTGATGTTGAGTAAAACCCATAAACGCTTTAAACATTTGAGTGCTCTGTATCATAGGTGCTGCTCTCCCTTCTTTGCATGTTAATCCTTAGGTTTGAAGCTTCTGACCAAGCTCGATCAGTTATTTTAAAGTGGTACCGTGGTTTGTGAAACATGCAGGAGATGGAGTAACATCTAATGGATCATTTTGAATTTATCTGAGTGAATAGAGTGACCTAATGAAATCCACTGATAATCCCACCTACTTCAACCCCTGAGCTGACCCAGCCGAAGGACCACACCAAAACTATGTTAATCGGTTTGAGCTCATTGAGCGCCCAGACTGAGAAGAATGGGCTCAAACCTTAAAAACTGCAGACGTCTGTCTGGGTCTCAAAAAATGGATTTTCCACGTCTTATTACAGGTAAGTTGTAGAGGAACGGTATAAATTAAGACAGTAAAAATGGTTTTAAATCATCCAACTAGCCAAAACATGAAACTTGAGACAAAATTCAACAGTGGTAACTCAGTTTTCAGCTACTATTTGCCCACGCATGGCAATTTCAAACCCTTGTTTTCCCAGGAAGACGGCAAGGCCAAATCTTTAATCCTAAAGAAAACACTGCATACAGGCTTACATTCATGCCACGCTGACCACCTGTGCTTGAGCTAAATGCCATTTCACTCAAATGCAGAGCATTTGGTTCCCACAGCTGATGATTGCATTACTCGCAGCATGAACCCCCACCCCTCCCGCATGGAAATCTGTAACTTACCCTCTTAATTAAAGACAGATGCAACAAAAGCCAATGTGATGGTTATTAACAGCAAAACCTGCAAAGGACCATTTCTCTTAGGAGCTGATAAACCTCATTGTTTTTATGGGTTGACATTTGTTTTTACACGGAGCGGTCTTTAACTCCAGGCAGTCAGAGCCTGAGTTCTCCTCTTTAAATCAAACAAACAGATGATTAGGGGGCAAAGAGATGTGGGCCAAGATACATCACTCACGCACATCGTGTGGAAATTTATACAGAACACATGTTAAAAGCATCACTTTAACAAAATATACACATTAGGAGTGTTTTCATTAACCATCGTCAACTTGACATAAGATAGAAAACCTGTCTTTTAGGGGTGATGGGTATCTGGACCAGCCCGCGAATGTTATGATCGAAGTGAAACCAGTGAGCATGTCTGCAGAGGAAAACACCACTTCTCTTATTACAGAGAGTTGCCACTTTCAGTGTCTCTTAGGGAGGGTTTGACCAGTAGATGTTAGATGTAATTGAAACAAGACTAGGTAAAGGTTTTCCACATGGTTGTGGTTATCGTGAGAATGTAAAGCTAGTGGGAATACGACGTCCTATATATTTGCAGCTCTATGTTTTGCAGATATACTGACATGAAATGAAATCTAAAAATCAAATACAGGACAAACTTGCTGTCTATGTTATATTAAGCAGGTTTCTAAAATTTTCTGGAGGAACAGTGCTGTTGGATTTTACCAATACTATTTAACAGACCAATATTTTGCATTAGTTTTTTTGTTTTATTAATAAGATAACAGCTAACAACTGAGCAACACAGTGAAGTTTCAGATAAGACCACAGTGGATACAATGACAGACTTTACTCACAAAACACAGCAAATAAAATATGTTATACTATAAGTCACTATCATCACAAATCAACCTTCTATCTTGGATAAATGTTAAGCAAATGTCTCTGTAGGGATATTTCATCTTGAAATTATTCACCTATTAATAAAAACTTGCCTGTAAGATTTTGAAAAAAATATATATATATATACAGTTTTGTTTTTTTTTGTTTTTTTTGGGGGGGGGAACAATTTTTCATTGAAAAAAAAAATCATTTTAAAATGAAAATATTTCAAACAGTTTTGGCTCGAAGCTCCTATATAACTAAATCTTTGTAGACCTAAGCGGAATGATTTAAGAAATTCTAAAAGCTAACAGCATATAATGTCCTGATGCATGCTCAATAATCCAGGTAGATAAATTAACAAGGAGTCATGTCCTCTGGATGGATTATTCTTTGTTGAAACATTTCTTCAGTTTGAGGAGCTACAACAAAGTCTTATGAACAGCACTTTCACATAGAGCAGTGGTTCCCAACCCTAGTCCTTGAGGAATGCCATCCTGCATGTATTAGTTGTTCCCTGCTTTGACACACCTGATTTTAAGGAATGGGTGCTTAACAGGCTTTCAAGGAACTTCAGAAAGTAATAAAATCACTGAAAAAGGTGTGTTGGAGCAGGGAAACAACTCAAACATGCAGGATGGCGTTCCTCAAGGACCAGAGTTGGGAACCACTGGCATAGAGGATCGACCAGTTTGCTGGTGACAGCCAAAACTAGTTGTTCACATGCAAAATAAGCTAAAACGACCAATCAGTAGAGCCCTGACCACTTGCTATTCACAGAGGGCTGAGTGATACTCACTGTAACAGTAAGAGGGAGGCAGCTCTCTTCACAAAGATGGCCTCCTTTACTCCTCTCTCAAGCCATCGTTCCTCTCCATCAAGGATGTGACATCTTCATCCCTGAAAGAGTGACCGCTGGCCTGGAGATGAGTGTAGACCGCAGAGTCCTGGCCTGATGATGTGCTGTGCTTCTGTGCTGGACCATCCTTTTGGCCAGTGGCTGTTTAGTTTCCCCGATCTAAGACTGAGCACAGCCCTCCCGGCTCTCAGCATATGCAATATTACTCTGTTTGTGCCGGGGAACTGGATCTTTGGGATGGACCAGTATTTGCCGTAATGTATTTTGGGCTTTAAAAGTCACTGGGACGTCATGTTTAGAAAATAAATGTCTCCGTTTCTCTGAAACTCCTACAACATACAGAAAGACCACTGGTCTGAGTTCCTCCTTTTGTATGTGAACAACTACCGGTGGTTTTGGCTGTTACCATCAAACTGGTTGATCCACTATGCAAAGGTGATGTTATATAAGTTTGCTTGCAGCTCTTGAGACTGAAGAAGTATTTTAGATAAAAGACGAAATGTTTCAACAGAGAAGACCTGACCCTTGTCAGAACTAACAGCATACACGCCTGGAACAATGTAGAGCTATTTTAGCGGTGAAGATATTTATAGTTGATCTGCATAAGATGCTCTGATAAGGGAAAAAGAAAACACTGCAGGCAGATTAAGGATGTTACTTATCACATTACTGTATACATAACTACCGTGGTCCATAAAAGGTCTTTAATGGTAAAATTGTTGCCAAGTCTTTGACATGTTTACATTTTAACCATAACGTCTAAAGAAAAACTAGTAACTGGTCATTCACCCAACCAACCAACATCAATTAGATCATTCTGAAACACATTTTGAACTGTTTTAAAATGTGTAAAATGGGTTGATTGGAAGAGAAAATTAAAGAGGTCAACAGAATTTGTGTTTATACCACAGCATGAAGCCCAAAGTGTTGGCCCCAACAAGACCCATGGGACACTGGAAGTATGACATACATCCTTTGGGATGTCTTTAGACAGTAGTGGTGGTCTGGATTACTTTGAGACGCCATCATTCCAGACAGATGTTTATATTAATGAAAACAAAAGTTCATCTAAGCCAGATCAGGAACGTTTTAGATCACCAAAAGGCAGACTGAGGGAGGGACGTCATTATACCAGACCTGGTGAGATGTTTATCTTGTTTGACCCCTTTGTTACCCTGTGTACCCTTGCAGAAAGCACCCCCTTAAAAGCCTTTCAGCGAGTGCCCTCTTTTCCCACATTACTCCTAGTTTGTCCTCTTACACACAGGCCATAAGAGACCAACAGCCTTTCATTCGCTGGAGAAAACAATACACACTGAACGCCACTCTTGGCCTCAAGCAGTCACAGCCTTGACAAAAGACACAACCTCGAACCTTCACACAAACGCAAAACATATCATTTGCCTCTTATTTTCATGCACTGCATTTCTTCATGCTGCTAAAACTGCAGGGATCATTCAAACGAACACCCACATGGCATTCAGTCTATATGGTGCACGTACATTTTAGCAACCAAAATAACCTTTAATGGGAGAATAATCGTTTCCCCACTGCTGTGAAAGGGAAAAATAGCACTCTAAAATGACCAGTAAACACAAAATGCATACCTGGTGAACGAGGTCTATGCTGGTAAATGAAACTGAAGACTTTAAACTCCCTAAAGTTATAAATGGTAGGCACCCAGGAGGTAAAAGGTCCTCCATCGTGCCCCACAAACTTTGAAGTGGAGAGGATGGGACTGCTGGGTAAAATTAGACATCTTCAAATAGAACTCGAAGGTTTGCATTTAAAGACGTAACTACAACGCTCCTTAATAAATGTCTAAATTTTTGACAAAAGGGCAACGCATTTGGCTCTCGTTAGTGTCAGGAATGTTCAGGCATATTGCACTCGTGAGTAAATACAATGCATTCACACGCATCACTCAATCTGGTAGTGCAACCTTGTAAAAACTAAAACTTACAGGTCTCTTGAAGTTCCAAAAAACTTCTTGACAAAAGACTCATAAAAGCTCTGATGGAGAGATTTTAAAATTATAAGGTCTCCACAGATGAAACCTCCCTCACGTTGTGCAGCTCCGGTGCTTTTATCACAGCTAAAAGCATAACTGTGGAAGAAGGAGCTGAAGGCCAGCTCCGAGATCCAAAATACACTTGTGCAGCTTCCTGTCTGGACCAGCTTATTCAAGAGCACTGAGAACATTATTGTGTGAAAGGTCAAATAGGGTCAAAGAAGCACAAGATGGAACCTTTCAGCAGTAATTGATTGATTTTTATCCTATTCTTCTTCAGCTGCTGCTGGTGAGTTACTGGGCTGCATTTAAATCCTTACTGTGTCACATTGGGGGGCTCATTATTAGAACAATTAGGCTCGCTGGGGTCCTGGGCACCATGAAGGGGGGGAAGGAGGTCTAGGATGCAGGACAAGAGGAAATGGACAAATAGTTCAACTGTGGAATGACCTCACGAAGTTTGGTAATAAGAATAACACCCCGCAGCATCTGACCAAAGTTCATTCAAGTGAGAGTGTCTTTTGAAAGACAAACAAAACTTATCTGACTGAAACTCCAGCCCACTGCCTCCCCCAAAGCTGTAAAACTATATGAAGTGGAAATACACCAATAATCTCAACGCAAAGGGTGCATTAGAGATTAAAAACATAGGAAAACACACAATCGTGTAACTTTGACACTAAAAGTGAATACTTTAAAATTATATTCTCTAGTAATTTAACTAAAAAAGCTAGAAAATTGGATAAAAATCCCAGTAGTTCGTCACAAATACACTGTACTCATCAACATATGCTAGCTTAGATTTAGATGCTAAAGAAATATATACGCACCAGTTTCGCCAATTTCTTTCCTTGCAGAGCCTCCGAGTGAAACTTTTTCTTCCCCCTCTCCAGTTTCCAGGTAAAATATGTTCAGGATACTCCGTTGGTTTCTGTGTTTCACATGTTACATGGCGCTCAGACAGAAACACATCCCACAGAGCAGGTCATCAGCTCGCACTGCGTCCGAAAACCAAACACGCCGACAGCTACATCTTTGAAGAAACGCGAAGAAGTCCTGCTGCGTTTATGTACCCTCGGAAATACGGACACCATTACTTTAGGTCGATAAAAAAACGGGAGTGTTCCCTGGTAGGCGGTAGTGACGCACCCTGACTACAGTGAAGTAATTATAATGTTGTTGCTAACAAGTTACTACTTATAGAAACATAGCAACAACAGATTTAATTTAATGATTCTTATTTTGGTTATACAGTAATGAAGATTTGATGTAGGATTTTTAAATTTACAGAGCGCATTGAATGCAACAAAGAAACGCCTGTTTTTGACAGGCGGGCTGCTGGGTGTCAGAGGTGTTCCCACATGGTAACATCTGGGCTGCATAGTTTCATCATTTCTCCAAGCATTAAACTGTTTTCAGCAAACAGAATGTTGTGCAATTTTCCATGCAGAATAAACTTGTTATTTGTGCAACATGCACCAAAAACAATGACAGTTTTGTGAAAGACAATAATAGTAACCCTGCAGCTTGCATTTATGGGGGTGTGGGCTCATAAAAGATGTCTTCAGTGAATTTATTGATGGGTGTTATTTATGCTGGGCACATCTGTGCGAGCCATTCAGTCTCTTAAAAAAGAATAAGTATTGTAGGTTGATGAAGCAGCCTCGCTTGTTTGATGATGGCAGACCAATATCACCACCTGTTGGCCATGTTGGTGCAATTATTTTCAAGTAAAACAATATCCTAATGAAACGTGGGATGCTGGTGGAGAAAAATATTCTCGCTTATTTTACATACTCAGAAAGAACCACACTCAACAACAGGAGACAATTTTTAACCGCTATGTACGTGCAAGATCTGATATTCAGGACAGGTTACATAAATATGAAGTACACACATAAATTCCAGGCACGAGAATCTGCCCCAATTTGCCTCCGTAGTTTGTTTTTATGCCTTTATTAGTTCAGTCAAGTTCACAGGAGGTGTCCTTGGAGTCAGCTGCATACCACAGTCTCACTCAGCTCCTCATCCAGCTCTCTCTGTTAACCCAAACATATGGTTCATGGGCAGAGTTATTCTCAGCCATAGTAAGAAAAACATCCACAACCTTTGGCCAAACATTCCCTAACATATCCCCCCTATTTATGCACGTTTTATTACAGTATCAATATTAATCTTCAGGGGCGATTCTAGAATCTGCCTTTATGGGTGCTTAGCCCCCAGTGCAGACAATGACTCTTGGCTTGAACAACCAAGTGGCCATTGGCATCAGATTTAACCATATATTAAAAGGAAAAGTTAATGCAGTAAACCTCATATTATTATTCATACTGCAGAAGAGGCAGTTGGTTTTGTCATCCTCCTAATCATTTGTTAATCTCATGTTATCTTATTATTATTTAATCAACCAACAGACAGTCAGTTCAACTCAATCAGTGTAAGTCAATTTGTAATACCTTAAACCACCATCGTCTTAAGTCTAAATTAATTGTTAACTTATTTGACTTATTTCACCTTTACACCCTTAAATCAAATGACTAGTTCCTCTGTCATGCAAGAGTTCAATTTAGGTTAACTGCATGTCTCAAAACCTGTAAATTACTTTGTATGAAGAAACTGATAAAACCCTTTAAAGAATCATTTATATAAACCCAAAAATATTGAAAGTATTTTTATTATCTCTGTTAAATTAAACCAGCCGACACCTTGGTGTCTGAAAATGTAAATAAGATATTGAAAGGCAATATTTAGTATTAGTAATTGTCTTAATCCAAGCTCAAACTGTTTCAAAGTAAAAATAAAACAAAAGCTAACAGGTTATTGTGAACCAGTTATAAATATGGTGCGCTAAGATTCACAACTGTACCACCATTGCACCTTGTATTCACTGGTTAACTGGACATCATTAACTTCACACAGACTCTCTCACTGGTACATTTTCATCTTTAAATAACTCCTTGGTCTGCTGCCTTCATACATCTCCTCCTACAGGTTACTGCGTGAGTGCAGCTACAGCGTGCTCTCCCAAGACATCATTACCTGCAGTGTTCCTTCAGTGCAGACTGAAATTGGAAAAAGGGCCTTCTCCTACTCCGCTCCTGTTTCCTGGAATATCTTACAAAAAGATCTCAAGCTCTCAACTTTGACCAAATGACCACAATGCAAAAACCAATGCAGACATGTTCCTGTTTTTAGTATTTTACAGTTTCATAATGTAGCATGTTTTTTTGTTTTAGTTTATATCACTTCTTTTATTTACTTTTCATTTTACATGCTTTTATATGAATGTTTATTGCTGTGTGTACCTCATCTGTGTTCTTTGTTTAAAGCAGGTCTCTTTTGTAAACGAGTCCTCGTGACTCAATGAGACTAACCTGTTTAAATAAACATAATAAAAAGTTTAAAGTGAAGAACATCATGAAAGCACTGTACTTCCCCATAAAATCCTTATCTCAGTGTCATTCTGAATTTATACAAGGAATATTTAATGGGTTCACTCATGTTGTGAAGTTTATCGTCTTATTTTTATTTTGATGATGTCACTCTTCTCTCTGGGCACCAGAAGTCTCCTGATGGCTCAGTGGGTTGTTGGTTTCTTCACCGGCGTTGTCACGCTGTATGCGTGATTCTCCATTGTTGTCCGGTTTATCCTTGAGTCAGTGAGTTACCTCCTTGTAGTGAGAGATGGAGCCAGGTGGACCATTAGGTGGTTTTACTGCAGTGGGTGTGGTCAGCAACACCTGGAATGTCTCCCACCTTTAACAACTCTTGATGATTTTCACCAAGACTCAGCCACCAAGTTGCACTGCGTCCTGCTTGAGTTCTCCTCCCTGCAGGACGATATTAGCTGAAACAACTTCTTCCATAACAACAAAGTTCATGCTCAATAATCCAGGTACAAAATCCAACAAAGTTCAGTCAGTTCATCTGGAGGGTTTCTTTTTTTGTAGTCGAGACGTTTCGTCCTTCATCCAAAGAACTTCATCAATCCAAGGAGCCACAACAAACTCAGTCCCACAAGCAGCACAATCCCATAGTGGTCCAACCAGTTTGGGGGTGATAAGATGGTTTCTGGGGCCCGCCCTCTCCACCGTCAACTCCTCTGAGGCAGCCATAGCCAAAGTGGTTCAAAACATCAAAGTTCATACGCAATAATCCAGGTAGAATTTGTTCATTCTTAATGTCTATTTTATTTTTTTTATTTTTTTTTGGTGATCTTTCTTCTTATCGCTCCCTCTTCTTAAATTTTACAACCAAAAAATTTAAAACAATTTACATTTTAAAAACATTGAAAAAACCCATTGAGATCCGAACAATTTTCGTATCATGTTACATCAGTAAAATTCAAAATAAAATACATCAAACCATATTCTCAAAAAAAAAAGAACACACAAGCTATAAGCATTTGTGGGTTTTATAAATTCACGAAAAGTGCTCTCAAATTAACTAGAACTTATTTCTTGTGCGTCCAATGGAAAAATTGATTGCGTCATGGGATTGAAAAATGTTTTTCTTGTCATGTTTGTGATTTGAAGTTGCAAAAAAAAATCTTAAATCAACAATTTGCTATCTTTGTATAAAGCACTTTTGTCACTTGTAACATCAGCAGATTTTTGTGCACTCATGATTAAATATAATCATAATTATATTGTAAGGGTTTTAAAACTAAAAGCACAAAAGGATGTCAAACCAAAATGCACACAAACTACATTTGCAAATGAAAAAACTTATTTGCAAACATGCATGAAAAAAATCAAACAATTAAAAGATCCTATTTTTTATTTATGATCAACATTAAAATACATGTAATGCATATAAAGCTTCATGTCATAAGAGTATGTACAAATACTTGAGAGTGGTATAACAATTAATATTTAACAGTGAGGGTAAAGAACATTTAAAGCTTGTTCTAAAAAGAATAAAATGTGTAAAAATCACTGATAAAATCACCTCCAAGAAAAATATGTCTTACTAAATTCAAACGTATGTACAATATTCTGCATCCAGGTGAAATCCAGCAGAATGTAACACTAAATACAGATAAACAAGTTTAGAAGTTGGCAGAACTGAGATGTGCAATTGACATAATTAACTGTACACATCAACATTTCTTAGAATGTTTTGAGGCAACAAAAAAAATAGTGCGTTTGAGGTAAAAGTCATGATGGACTTGTCTTTTACAAAAAAATAAAATAAAATAAATGATTCTCATCACTGAAAATAAAAAGGCTTAGAAGGAAGAAAAAAAAAAAATCAAATATATCTGAATTTCTATGGGAGGATTAGCTGAAACTAACTGCCTCGACAACAAACTGAATCTTTTTCATTTGACCTGAGCTTCAAACATCAGAAACCGACTGATGTCAGCTGCGGTGTTAAAATCAAAACATCACGTTTTGTTAGTGAAGACTCGGTCTTCTGTTAACGTTGTCTCAAAGAAAACCATCCACATAAGGACTAAATAAAAGATGCATCTCCTCCAGTCTTTAAACACACTTCTCTAGTTATTCTGAGCAGTCAATATAATAATCTATCATGATGGGGGTGAAGTTGAGGCTCAGTAGACCTTGGTGGTGCTGCCGATAGGCTGGTGACTTGATTTCTTATTCTTCAGGCAGCAGTATCCCAGGATGCCGAGGAGAATGACGATGGCTACACCCAGGAGAATGGCTATCGCAAGGATCCCTGTCGAATAAATAAACATTACTGGGGTTGGCTGGGTCTAAATCCTTCAAACATTTAAAACAAAGCTCTGAGATTAACTGGAATAAAGTACTACGTTTTGACTTTTAAACCAATACATGTCAAAGTTTTAACCCAAAACTCCAAATTTTAGCTCAATATCTGCAAAACGGACTGAGTTGTTGCCATTTTTGTGTTAATTAGCTGTGACGGTCAACATTAATGGCAACATTGTTACCCAATTTTTTTATATATATATATACATTTTGGAATGAAGACTAAAACGGTACTTAAGTCCACCGTCAATTGGGAGTTTGTCTTTCTGATGAACAGTGAGGCTTCCCTTTATTAGAGACTTTAAGCACACAAACTCCATATCTGAGAATATTTATAAAGTGCACACAAAAAAAAAAATGCATGTCTGAAATTAAAACATAAATTAATGGTTTTCACCAACTTTGTTAACAAGGTTCAGATTATTTAAACTAGGGCTGGAAGATATGACAAAGAACCTTTATCATGGTTTTAAATCCTCTTAATTACTGCATTATTGATTAATTCAACGCTGTAATGTAACGCAGTGGTGAACTGTGACTCGATCACTCTCGGGAATAAAAAACAAGCTTTGCAACTGTCCTCTCACATAATCCAACAGCAGGAGAGACCTTTAGTCAGACCAGCCGCAGAACAAAAAAAAGTTGTGGTTTTACAGCCGCACAGTGCTCGAGGGCATCTTAAGACCAGTCCTCCCATTACGGTCAGTTACCATTTGATGACAATGGACCAGAGTGAAAATATGAATCACAATAAAACACAAAACCAACGCCATCCGTTTTCACACCCACCAGAATCAGACATCGGATAAATAACCAGATTTAGAACAGCAACTATTATCACAAAAGAATAGTCATTATAGGCTTCTTAAATTTAAAATAAATATAGCATATTGTGACCAGGAGCTTTATAAATTGACCAATATTAAATAAGGACCAGTGCTCAAAATATATTTCTACAGTAGTGGTTCTCAAACTGGGGTCCCCGGACCCCCGGGGGTCCACGAGCCGGTGCTTGGGGGTCCGCAAACAACAATAATATTTTTTTACAAGCATGTAGATGTTTAATAACCCGTTAAAATACACCAAAATGCATGAAATCACATCTACTTTATTCAAAATTTTCTGGGAGAGGACCCCCCCCCATCCAATTCTGTTCAGTTTTATGCAAAGAGTTTTACATAATATTTTGAAAAAGTGGCAATACATTTATGTTCATTATGGGAATAGGTAAAGTTTAAAAGTGGTTTTTGATGCTGTGAATTTTCCTCAAAACTAATCTTTTGAAGTTTAAATTAAAAAAATGTGTGAATGAAAAATACCCCATGCTTAAAAATATAAAAATTGTATTAACACTATTAAAGAACAAGTCTTAAGTATTTATGTTACACAAATATTTCCATTGCATTAAAGAGACAAATACAGGAAAACTATTTAATAAACACGAGGGTTATGAGGGGGTCCCTAAACCCAAAAAGTCTGAGAACCCCGAGAACCGACCTTGACCTCTCTAAATGGCTCTAAGAATCTGTTGGACTCCTGGCAGGGACCAATGCAGACATGTTCCTGTTTTTAGTTTTCTACATTCACCTTAGAATCTAGCTGTTTTTTGTTACTTTTTTTTTAGCCATCTTATTTGTAAAAAAAAAAAATAAAATAAATCTGTATGCCTTTTTATAACTGTCTGTTGTTGTCGCTGTTGTTCATTGTTGTCATCATTCTTTGTTGAAATCAGGTCTCTCAGCTAAACTTACTATATGATGATGATATTATTTAATAATTTAATCCTTTGGCCTTCAGATTAAAAAAATACTATAATCTGACCAAGAGTCCATCATCTGACCCTTTTGTTCAGTCACTTCTTGAAAGTAGTGTCTGATGGTTGTTTAAGAGTTAGCAGCATGGCTAACAGTTTTTATGAATCTGAATCATTGTGCACACAGACACTTGAGTTCTGAACGGTGACAAAACAATGCTGATGCTTAAAAGACGAATAGTTGCTTTTAGAAAGTCCCCGGTAGTTCTGACGGAACTGACTTCTATAAACTTCCTGCTCAGGAACGCCAGGATCCTACTACGTAAAAGAAAAGTCTCGAGTCAGTCTCAGAAATCAAGTGGAGTTTGTTCAAAGTCTTTACTAAATTCAAACCGCTCTCAGATGAAAGCTCCGGTGTTGTTTTTCTTCAGAAACATGCTGCTCATTTTGTTTCCTCTCAACGCCCACTAACTGATATTTTTCCTCGTTTTTTTTTTTATTATAAACACAAAGTGAAAAAAATACAGATTGCTGCATTTTTTTAGATGATGGGATGGGAGGAGACAGGAATGGAAGGAGTGATGTGTGTTAAAAGCTAAGAAAAGCTAAACTTATAGTGAATTAAATGCAGAGGGCTAAAAATTAGCCGATAGAACTTCTACTCTATTATCTAGTGCTCTATATAACTTTGTATTAGTTACTTTTAATATTGGGAAAACTTTTGTCACAAATATACTCGATATATCACCCATCTACATTTTTCAAAATCATACCAATAAGTATCATCACCTCCTAAACAGCTTTAAAAAGAAATTAAAATGGTGACATAACAAATCTTCTCTTTATGCTTTTATTTTCTTAAGTTTGTATTGGGTAAAAATTCCAAATCTAAAATATTTTCTTTATACAATAAAACTTGCTCTGCAAACACTGATAAAACAGCTACCACAGATTATTTATTTAGGTTTTTTTTTGCATTTTGATGAAACATTCTAACACGTCTGGAAATAAAATATGTAAAAGTCAGGATATGGTATTCATTTCTCTTTAGTTTGTAATGTATGTTAGTCCCGTTTGAGTTTATTAAGTTTTAGGATGGACAAATAAAGGTAATGTACCTGTCTGGCTATCAGATGATTCTTGTTTTTCAGGGCCCGACTTTCTTGCAAATACATCTTTGCCTAAAAACAAAACAAAAAAAGAAGAACACCGTGAATAAAAAGGAACATAACTCCAGATTCATTGCAAATAAAAAAGAATAAATTCAAAGAAATGCTCTTTTTAACCTACTTGTTACGCTACGGCAAGTTGTTTTACAGGATTCTTCAGAGTCGAATCTGTTTCCGTTTCCTTTGCAGCCGCCATAATTAAAGGGTAAACAGACCTGATGGATGGGGTCGTAGAACCACTTAGTCTGGCTGTCCCTGCAAGTTCCTGTGTCGGGGTGCTCAGTGCAGCGAACTGTCATCAACACACACAGCAGAAAGGATCTGTGTTACATTCATAATCAAATCTAGTAATTTAGAAAACTTTTAGACGACTTGAAGTTTAAATCACCTTTCTGTTCATCCACTGGAATCTGGGTCAGAATCAGAAACTTATTCGTCACTGGTCAGCACACAAGATGATTTTTGTTAGCATGCACTGTCAGCTTGCAAGTATGACTGTTCATTTAATCATTCAAGTGAAAATGATGCATAGTTTTCTATAACTAGTCCTTACATTCATCGCAGTTGCTCTCATCTGAGCCGTCAGTGCACTGCGGGGTTCCATCACACTCCAGGCCTGCGTCCAAACAGCAGCCATTATTGCAGATGAACTGCTCGGTGGTGCACGGAGTGCCACATTTTTCTTCTGCTGCACACAAACATGGAGATAATGATCAGTTGGAGCCATCTCATGATTACATAAATAACAGAGTATGTTACCAAGTGAAACAAACGTGGCCACGTTAATCCAGTTTCTCATACCCATAAGCCTACAGAGACTTAGCAGCAAAACCTGCAACTCCACTTGGCTTTGCAAAGCTTTAAAACTAATTTCATTCCACTGCTCGTGCATTTGCCAACAGTTTCACTCGTTGGTTTACAGTAAATCAAGTGCAATACAGCTTGTGTTATAAAAGCTTTGTTGAAAAACTTTATTTTTGAAGGCAAATGCAATTTTTTTCCACTAATCAAACACTTTTATTTATGCACAACATACAGAAACAGCTAGTATCAACAGGCTAGCAGGGCTAAGCCCTTCCTAGCTTTTACAATAAAGACTCGGAGGATAAGAAAAGTACAGAGCAGACAGATATATCAAAGCAACACTGGTGATCAGATGTTCCCACTCATTAGCGTGAATGAATGTTATTTTAATTTGGGCCTTTTGATAATTTATTTAAAACAGTTCTTCAAAGGAAGAATGATTACATAAAATGCAGTTTCAGGTATTTTAGAATCTGAAATTGGGTGCACGGGTTAAATTTATTGCAGTGTTTATATTGATTTATTTACTGATGGAAAGAAAAAGCTGGGGGTCAAGGTGGAAAATACATTTAAATTAAAGTTTATTATCTGGGTGTCCAAATTCTTCTTTTAAAAAGTCTTCAGTTGATCCAAAATGCTGCTGCCAGAGTCTTAACTGGAGTTAGTGGGAGAGATCATCTCTCTCCAGTTTTAGCTTCTCTTCATTGGCTCCCTGTCAAATCCAGAATAAAATTTTAAATCTTACTTCTAACCTACAAAGCTCTCAACAACCAAGCTCCATCTTATATTAGAGATCTTATTGTCCCATATTTTCCTAACAGAGCACTTCGCTCTCAGACTGCAGGTTTACTTGCGGTTCCTAGAGTTTCCAAAAACAGAATGGGAGAAAGATCTTCCAGTTATCAGGCTCCTCTCTTGTGGAACAAACTTCCAGTTTCTGTCTGTAAGACTGACACATTGTCCAGTTTTAAGACTGGACTTAAGACTTTCCTTTTTGATAAATCTTATAGTTGGGGTTGGATTGTTATGCTGCTATAGACTACTGGAGGACAAACTGACCACATTTTCTTAAACGAATTGTTAAAATTTAATAGTTTTCATTTGATACTATTTCTATCTTAACATGTGATTCTCGACCTGCCATTGTGTATCTGTTCCTACCAAACCCAGCTGGTTGAAGCAGATGGCCGCTTGTCCTGAGTCTGGTTCTGCTAAAGGTTTCTTCCTAATGAGCGAGTTTTTCCTTTCCACGGTCGCCTTCATGCTTGCTCAAGATGAGAGTCTGTGATGGAGATATATTCAAAGCAGTCTGCTCCTCAGATAATTAATTTTAACTTATTATTTTTATATATAAATGTTTGTTCAGTGCCCTGAGATGACTTCTGTTGTGACTTGACTGCTATATAAATAAACCGAACTGAATTGAACTATTTTTGGGGGTGTGTGTATATTGAGCCTGTTCACATTATTTTGTGTGCATTAGAGAATATTAACAATAAACTAAAACTTGTGCCCCCAATCTAGTTTTTTTTTTTAATCAGTGATGTTGTTTGTTGTGCAGCCATTCCACCTTAGAAGAAGAACAGTTAAAATAAATTAATACAGTGTATTATTTATGTACTCCTGAAGGTGAAATGCCAAACTTGGTTCTGGATTCAGCAAAAGAGCGAGTTAACAGTGTTAATAGGGTTTTTTTGTGCTACTGTGTGAGTTTCTCTTTAATCAAAGGTTAGGCTTTGACATGTAAACATCCGTCCATCCATTATCTTTACACACTTTTTCATTTTCAGGTCCTGGGGGTTACTGGTGCCCATGTCCAGCGAGAGGCAGGGGACATCCTGCACAGGTCTCCAGTCCATCTCAGGGACACATAGAGACAAACGAGACAAACAACCATTCACTCTCACTCACACCTAGGGACAATTTAGTTACCAATCAGCCTAACATGCATGTTTTTGGTCTGTGGGCAGAAAACCGGAGTACCCGAAGAAAATCCACGCATGCACGGAGAGAACATGCAAACTGAACCACCGTGCCTCCCAACATGTAAACAGTTCAGAGTAATAAATGTGTCAAATAAGATGGCATTAAAAAATCTCGCCTAGCGCTGTCCGGTTGTGTTTTGGCTGTCCACAAAATCACAAGAGTGATGTCTTAAGTTGTTGTTTTTAATTTATTCTGGCACTCATTTTAAAAACTGTATAATTGGGGGGGCTCTTAAAAAAACTGTTTCTTAGTACGGAAAATGCAAAGTTGGAACAGAAATAAATTGTATATTCATAAAAAGCTGTTCCTGCATGGTAGTTATTAAAACAAATATTCAAATTACACCTAAATAATACAATTCTACCATTAAAAATGCACATCTACTACACTGGTTTACGGTAAATGTTGTGTTCACCATGAGATGAATAAATTGTACCTACCTGGAGGTAACAGAAGTCTTCCACCTTTTCCTGAAAGAAAAACATTCAAAAGCATAAATAAATAAATAACACCAGTTATAACAGTATAGTTATAAGACAAATGTACACTCTAAAAAGTTCTTCTCTTCAGGCCTTTAGTGAATAAAAAGACGTTTGATGCACAACATGACAACAGGTGCTGTAATAGGACAATAAATGTCATAAAAGGACATCAAGCTGTTCTGTTATCGCACTGAAATATACATCAAATGTACAGATTAGAATCTACAATAATGACATTTCTTTATAAAAAAAAATACAAAACTAATGTTTTTAATATATATACAATAATTTAAAAACGTAAATAAGTTGAATATACTTAGTTTGTTTGTTTTTTTAAAGCACCTGAGAATTACATTCTTTAGCAACTCCTAATCCAAAAGGTTGGTATGTTGCGTATATAAAATAAAATGATTTGCAAATCTCAAACTCATAATTTACTCACATTGAAACATGGTAAACATATTAAATGTTAAATTGGGAAGAATTTGAACATCACATCATCTACAGTTCATAATATAAATTGTTTGGAAAAATCTGGAGAAATTTCTGAGCTTCAAGAAAGTCAACACTGAACTTCCGTGACCTTTGGGCCCTCAGGGAACCTGCTTTAAAAACAGTTCCAATTATTTTTCTGGAATTTTAACTTTATGGGGAACACTTCCATAAAATTTGCATAAACGCAGTTCTACAAAAGCAGATTAAAGCTCTATCATGAAAAGAAGCAGCCATTTGTGAACACATTCCAGAATTGTTGCTGGTTTTCTTTCAACCAAAGTTTATTTAAATTGGACTGAAGATAGGCCTGTCGCAATAAACAATAAATCAATTAATCACTTGATAAATGAAAATCATCGATCTCATTTTCATTTATCGGCTTAATCATTTCTTCGTCTCTCTCTCTACTGAAGACACTGGATGACAAAAGGCTCAACTCCGACGCTCTTCACTGACCCCTCCCTTTCTCTTTAAAATGTATTTTAACGATCCAAAATCACGTTTTTGGATCGTTAAAAGCAGCTAAGCTGAGAAGCTAAGCTACGAGCTAAGCTAACAGGCCGACCTCGGGGAAAAAAAACTCTTTCTTGTCAAAGCTCCAAAATTTATGGTTGAAACCGGTGTGTTTGTCTACAAAGTTGTTTTTTCTCTGCAAAAAGAAGCAGAGAACTTGTTTACCGATTTATTCTTAAAAGCTTTGTATGAAAAATGCTATGCTAAAGAGCTCAAACCACACCAAGTGTCCGCCATTTTGAGAACCAAAGAGAGACGGTCCATGTCACGTCAAGGGGCCTCCCTCCCATTTTTCTTAAAGAGACACGCTGCTCGCTCCCTCACTATCCATCCTTCAGTTCAAACAGTCTTATACTGCCATCCAGTGGTGGAAAAAAGGTACTACACTCAAAACAAATTACCCAGCATCTCTTTTTAAATTTGACAATAATTACTAATTATTGTCAAATTTCAAACAATATTATAGTTTATCGCAATAACTTCTGAGACAATTAATCGCCCAGCAAAATTTGTTATTGTTACAGTCCTAACTGAAGCAAATGAAAAACTGTTATCTGATCAGATGAATCAAAATTAGACTTTTTTTAATGGAAATCATAAACAAAAGTCCTCCATACTAAAAAGGAGAATTGGCTGTTGTTAGCACAAAGTTCAAAAGTCTGCCTCTCTGATGGTATGGAGGAGCATTTATGCCTCTGTCATGGAAAGCGAAAAGCACCATCAATTAAGTGTTTAAAACATATACTCCTACCATCAATAAAATACAATAAAAATATCCTGTCAAGACCCAGAACTGTTGAACTCCTAATACAAGAGCAGGAAAGAACGGGACAATATTCCCCTGTAAACACCCCAACAACTGGTCTCCTCAGTTCCTAGATATTTACAAACTGTTGTTAAAAGATGAAGGAATGCATGAGAGTTTTTGAGATGTGATGCTCAAATGCAAAATTACTTTAAAGAAATTTTAAAAGGTGCAATTTCTTAGCTTAAACATTTAACACATTTACACAATGCTCTACACTGAATAAAATAAGGGTTTATGATATTTGAAAAAGGTTGCATTGTGTTTTCATTAACAAAAATGTTTTTTTGTTTTTTTTATTAGAAATTCGGAGCAGAAATACCTGAGTCGTAGCAGGCTTTAGTGCACTCGTCCTTGGTGAGGTAGTTGTTGAGATTCCCCTTGCAGCCCCCAAAAATAAACTCCTCGCAGTGTCCCGAGGCAGCGTTGTGATACCAGCGAGGGAACGCACCACGACATGGCCCAATTTTCATTGGAAACATACAGTGGTCTGACAGGACACACAAAAACAACCATTAGCATACAATTAAACAAATACATTAATTAATGGACGTCATCGACCCACGAACATATCAAACTTCAATTTAAAATTGTTTCAGAATTCAGTCTTCAGTTTGCCAATTCCCAGCTTAACTCGATTTATTTGTTGACTTTAAAAAAGCTATCAAATTTACTGAACAACCTTAAAGTGCTTCAACTTATCTGAAAATCTGGAATTTAAGTGTTTACTTCATTAAAATTGAGGAAAAACTATATGTAAATGAAGATGAAACCTATTTAGATGCCATCAATAATTTCCAAAATAATATTTAATGGATGGCATAACTTAAGACTCACTTGTCTGAACCATACACCAGTTTAATCTAACGTCCTGATGCATGCAGTTTATCTAACCCTTAATAGTTCTCCTTGCTGGCATCAGCCTTTTCTGTTTGCAGGCTGAAACTTCTCTAATTTTCACTTAACGCCTGGCTTGTGAACAAACACTTACGAAACTGTTTATCAGAAAAAGATTTGAAAAAAAGCAGTAAGTGGGATACAATTCTAAAGACACACTGGTCAGAATAGCTGAAGTAGGCCACCTCGTTGTGGCTGATGGTTGATCATTTACGTAAGAGCTTCCGTTCCAGAAAAGTACAGCCACAACAAATTGTTGAAGGAAGTCTGAGCTACTTCTTCTTTTTCACTTATGTTGCCGTCATGCCATTTATCTATGAGCCAATAGGTTCACTGCATACCATTCCATGTGAAGGACACTGGTAACAAACTGGTAACACTTCTCAGGCTTTAGATTGTTAATGAATGACAGAGGGAAGTTGAAAGTCTTCTAGTGCTTTAAAAGCAATTATATGCCGATACGAAACATTTAAAAAATGGATAAAAACTTAAATCCCTTTTATTCAGTTCAATCTGAGACACGACTCAATTGTTTCCATTATGCAACCTGAAACAAGATAAGCAGGTTTTGTTGAGTTGGGGGAGGAGACGGTATCAGGAAAGAAGTAAAAACACGATGACTGTACTGCTTTTTTTGCCTTTTCTTAACTCGGGTGTTTCAAAGGAGGTGACATGGACAGTTCATATTTATTCCACGATAAAGGTGGCAGCTAGCTAACCTTCCTGTGTAGTATATCAGACTATTGTGTAATATTTGCCCAGAACGGTTATCTTGCTTCCTCGTTGTCACTGGCTAAAGCATGTCATGACTGGTTTGATTCGAACAAAGTAATGTGGAATTCATTCATCCATCCAAAGCATGTGAAACGTAGAAGAAACTGCTCGAGCTGCTTTACGTTTAAGGTAGACGGAAATCTCAAAGCACGCCTGTCCACCATTTTCCACAACCTGATATTTTCAAGAGGAAATTTTAAAGAATTTGGAGTGTCGTTTACAAAAATAAAAGACTGTGGGGTGTTATCGTAATGCACCCACAGGAATTTTCTACTAGTTTCATCATAAAACACAGATTGTGAATGTTATGAGCCCAAAGATAAGTCAGCAAAGTGCAGAGGATTATGACTCATTACAACAGAAACTGGAATATTTAATTCTGCTGAGTGTCCTGCAGGGGTTGATTCACTTAAAGATGATAACAAAATGATGTTAGACAACTCTAAGATGTAATTAACTCCCTGTGAGTACATTATTAAAGACACTCACTCTTGGACTGCTCGGGAGTGAGGACCAGGATGGTAATCATGGTGGCGTCTGTCTGACCCCCGGTGTCCGTCACAGTCAGTTGGAACTTGTACATCCCAGATGTCAGATTGGAAACAATAATCTGGTCAGGGAAGTTGGTTTTCTACCAAAACAACAACAACAACAAAAAAAAATCTAATAAAGACACATAAAACACGAGTCATGTTATGAAATGCAAGTTATATTGTGTCATAGAAGTCAGGAAAGATCAGGTTTGTACTGATTGATTAGTTTCTCACCTCAATGAGAGCGTATGGATAATCTGTTAGCATATCCCATTTATAGCTCTCAATGCCTTTGTCATCCCTGCTCTGAATGCCGTTCAACGTCACACTATCTTGAGGCTGGACCACCTGGTCCTGGCCTGCGTCTGCCACTGGTGGATTGTCGGGTAAATCTGTTGGGCAAGAGATTGTGAACTTTAAAAACATCCTTAGATAAGTGCAGTTGAAGCAGAAATATGCTGAGGAGGAATCAGAAACCACCGTCATGCCGGTAACATCCTTCCCCGACGTGTGTAGACATGCAAAACTGAAGGTTTCTGCTCGAAATCAGCTGCCTCACATATCAAACTGTTTTAAGTAAACGGTACACGGCAGAAAACAATGAAAAAAGCCTTGTAAGCTCATTCATCCTGGTAGATAACAACAAAAAAGGTTAAATCATGTCATTTGGACAAGGTTAAGTGACTTTTTAGTATCTTAACTACACTCATTTAAACTGAAACAAGTGTATCCAAAGTACTGGTGATGCTGACTGAAACATAAGGGGAAAAAAAGATTAAATTAAAGCCCTTTGTTTAAGACTGAGATCATCTTATGTTGTGATTCTAATAAGTTATAGCTAGTTTGGTCAAACTACCGGTAAAAAAGAACATCACTTGCAGTTTCATGCAATATTGCAAAATCTCTCATAATCTTGATTAGCTGTGGCTGCCATCTTCAGCTGGGTAGACCTCAAAAGAAAATTTTTGCAGACACACTTTTAAAGTTTTGACTTTTTAACCAACCATCACTTGGTAGTAGTCGTCATATTGAATCCATCTGATAATATCCCAGAGTTTTATTAATCAATTTATGACTGTTTGTTTTTATATTTTATAAGCCGTAATGACAAATGTGTGACAAAAGCAATCAACTTTAAACTTAATGGGATTGTTCAAAATTATCACAGACCCCTTGTTGTTTGAGCTCCCAACTCCATCTCTTTGGGAACCACAGTCCTAAACAGAAGTGGCTCCTGAGAATATGTGCGGCTGACACGAGTTTCAGGAATCGCCAACCACACAAATTTTACAAACTGTGTAATACTTTTGGGGACATGGTCAGAATATAGTTGTTGCTTTTCTTTCTCTCTCTCCCTCCTGCAGGTTGAGGTTGTGGCTCCTGACTCCGGTCAGATAATTAGAATCTAACAAACGAACGCTTCCTGCCCATACAAAATGGAATATATTCTAATTTTAACTGCTAAAATAAACCAAAGTACACAGCTTTCTGGATTGGATTTCTAATTGACAAATTCTGTTGCCTGATTTAAAAAAAAAAACTATAAACTAATGACTTGGTGCATGCATATACAGTGCATTCACCCAGTTTGCTTTAAAGCCGTGACCATTACGCCACAGATTATCCACAGGTGGATCTATAGGTAGACTCTGAAAATAAGCCTACTACATTGGATAAAAAGTCCCACTGTGAGTCTTCTCTCTGTCTTTAGTTTTCTGTAGGGATGCACAATATTGGATTTTTGGCTGATATCCGATACCAATACCAATATTTTCCCCCTAGACCTACATACAGACTTTCTTTGAGCTTTCTTTGTTGTGGAATTAAAATACTACATTATTCTGCATGGTCTGTCAATTTGGCCTGCTACCAAATGCAGATGCCAAAAAAGGGGGCTGAAAATGATGTAACAATATGTAAATATGTATAATGTATATTAAGAAAAACCCAGCACCTTTTATATCGGTGAGTTATTTTGATGGAATGGCCAATGTCCGATATTTAATTTTATCACCAATATTGGCCGATACCGATACCATGCCGATAATATCGTGCATCCCTAGTTTTCTGTATTTGGTTCATAGTTTGAGTTTCACAAATGGGTTTTTAAACATAAAAATCTCCACTGTTAGATACAGCAGATGCAATGATTGTGCATTTGGTTAGACCATGTGAAAGTCAAAAAACTTAAAGTAAATATTTATGTAAAACAAGAGAAACCATCTTTAAACACTAATGAGTCATAGCTGGTTTATATTTTTGTATTTTATTGTGGGGTCCACATGATTTTATTGGGTGTAGTGTATTAAATTGTAGAAGAAGCTTTGTTATGTCCAAGACAAATTTCCCCTTGGGGACAATAAAGTATACATCTATCATTATCTATCTAAACAGAAGAGGTGGTCTCAGATTTCAACTTTCTAAAATGTATAATGCAGCCTGATACACAGTCATTTTCACTCCTATCAGGAATTTTGTTCATGTCACCAGAATGGCTCCACTGCAAGTCGAATTAAAAAAAGACCCTAACAAACCCCTATTATGAGGAGATAGAGCAATTTGCATATGTTAAAGCTCAGCTTTATAACTCCAACCCATATGTTCTTTGAGTTGAGAAAGCTCCTCAGATGAAAAGTGAAATGTCTTCTGTTACAAATAAAGTCCAGTTGTTTTTTTGTGTCTCGAACTTTTTTAATTTACCATGTCCTGGATGACTGAGAATCTTCACCATGTTAGGAGTGACCTTATCAATAAGCTAAAACCAGCAGAACATGTCAAAGGGGCAGAATTATTGTTGCCCCGCTGAGATTCTATTAGAGACGCCTGCAGTTCCGATCACCGCCGATAGGGGGACATAAAAACTCTACTGACAATCACAGGCAGTCAATTATCCTGCCCCATAACTATAAATAAATAAAAATAATATTATGAATCACCAAAACAATTTTAATTTCTACTTGAAAAACACAGAAGAAAACAAAACACAGTGAAGTTACAATATTTATTAAGGAGTAAGCCTGGCGATTTTAGCCTCTTTTCGGGGGTGCTCAAGCACCCTTAAATTTTAACTCAGCACCCCTGAAAATTAAAGAAACCATCATTAGGATTTTGTAAGAAAACAGTTCTCAAACCTTACATTCACCAATATCGAATAAATTTGGAATAAATATGGAATAAATGACAACACTTAAATGGACCAGTAAAATCTTTTTTTGTTTGCACGAGTCGGATCCTCAATGCCACCTGTCAATCAATCCAGCAGGCTTGTCAGCAACTGACCAATCAGTGATCTCAATTTGTCCTGAAGTGAAACGCCCCTTACCTGCAGGAGCTCCACCCCTTTTCCTCTGGCAAAATCGAAACGGTTTAGCATAACAAACACTTTGCGGTCAGAGGGATTTCATGAAAAATCCTTTGAAAAAAAAAACGGTTAAACGTTGTCAGTGGAGAACATGTAATTCAGACAGGGTTACCCTGAGCGTTGAGGGTGGAATACAGTTTATTCTATTTCCAAAACCTAAACAGAGTCTGGAAAAAATGTAAAAGATGGATAAAGCCCTACAACTGACTTCATGCTCAGCTGAATACAACAGTGATAAACTGGAAGTACCACATGTTCATCTGTATGAAGGTAACTGCAGGTAAATCCTACATTTTCTGTCATAATGACCAGTCGGTCAAAGCAGATAGCCGCTTGTCCTGAGCCTGGTTCTGCTGGAGGTTTCTTCCTTTAAAAAGGGAGTTTTTTCTTTCCACTGTTGCCACTGTGCTTGCTCAGGATGGGAGACTGTGACGAAGCCAAGATTCAACTTGTCTGCTGGATTCCTTAGATGGAGAACGTTACTAATTGGCTTTTTTATGTATGTGAATGTTCCTGTAAAGTGCCCTGAGACAACTTTGTTATGATTTGGCGCTATATAAATAAACTGAATTAATTACATTGTATGATTAAGGGTTAAATTAAAGGTTAATGCTTAAAAAAGGTTGCTGTGCTTTGTTTTGTGTGTTTTAAATGTTGTAACGTCTGGTTGCACAAGTTTAGTCTTTGTTTGGTATGATCAGTTAACACTAAACTGATTTTGTACAAATAATATATTAGGATAATGTAAAACAGAAAGCTACATTTGTAGCATCTTTGCTGGTGTGTGTATTGTGCTTAGCACTACTTCTTGTTGCTTTCTAAAATAGTTATTAAATCAAGTGTTTAATTATGTTCATTAACGTAGATGTTTAACCCGTTAAAATACACCAGACCGCAAGAAATGGCTTCTATTTTATTCAACATGGTCAGCATTGGGGGCAAAGCTCCCCTAAAGGTCAGATTCTAGCATCGCCCCTGGGAGCAAGTACTGTCATTTTATTTTGAAGGCGGTCGGGTCCTACCTCGGTCAGGCTCCAGGTCCACGTTGTTCTGATAGACGGTGTTCAGGATGTAGTTGCTGTATCCCTTCTTCCTGACGAAGCGGCAGGCGTATTTCTGCTTGTACAGGCAGTCGAACAGGAAGCAGGAGCTGATGAGGCCCTCCTCGGCTCCCTTCTCCATCAGGGCGACGTTACACCGGGGGTTCTTGCAGCACGACGCCACGCAGTCCCGGGTCCGCTCCATCTTCGGCGCCGACAGGAACGTGGCTCCGTCCTTCACGGACTCGTCGGTGTCCAGGAAGAACTCGTCCTGGCCCTTTTGGAAGCGAGAGAGACAGGCGTCCCCGCTGTCCTGACCCGAAGTTAAAGTGACGAGCAGGAGCACGAGCGCTCCTGAGTTAATTGATAAATTCATTATAAACGTCCTCTGAAGATGACCCCCACCAAAATAAAGTCCACACGTCACCTACAAACAAAACAAAGTCGATCACAGAAAAATATATTAGCTAAGTGTTACAAAACAAGCCTTTTTTTTAAGAGCTAAAAAAAAAAGCGACAGCTTCCTTCTTGAGCGCCCAACTCCCATTAACGCCACTAAAACTGAAATGTTGACTTCCTGGTGTCCACACAGACGTAACTCGGTGTTTCCACTGAAGCTTTAAGAATATAAGTCCACTGTGAAACTCTGAGGTCGACTAAAACCGAAGCAAGTAACGACATTTCTCAGGTGAGTCACCTGAGAAATACAGGAAGTGAAATTCCACTCCTCCTGCCACTCCCTGCTGGGACTGCTGGGACTACTGGGTGAAGCTCCCAACAAAAACAACCAAACAAAACTGCACGTCAGCAAACAAGGGGTTTCCCCCTCATTCATCAGAAGGGAACTACTTAACAAATTATTTAAGGAATTGTGAAAAAATGTGTTGAGTGACACGAAGAAATTTGAAATAAACCCAGAAATGCCACTAAATTTAAACAAACTACATGTTGAAAGCTGCAATTTTAACCAAAATTAACTAAAGAAATCGCATTTCCTGCGAAAATGCATTGTGATTGCTTATTGCTGGATAACTTGCTGAAAAACAGCTTAAATTAGCTAAAACATGCTGAAATGTAGCTGAAATAGAACAGGACTAAGTTAAAAATAGAAAGTAGAAAGAACACATATTTGTTGAATTTGGTTAAAATAAACAGAAATGAGCACAAAAATGAGGAAAGTCGCTTAAAAAAGCTGAAATTAGCAAAAAATAAAAAAGCTGAAAGAGGCTGAAACTACCAGAAGGAAATGGAAGGAGCTGAAATGAGCTAAAAATGTGTAATTAGCTGAAAAGCTAAGTAACACAAAAACAGCTAAAAAGTAGCTGAAATTAGCAGAAAGAATCTGAAAGGAGCACACAACGGCTGAAGCTGAAAGTAGCTGAATAAATAACAAAGTCCATGCTCAATATGGCTGAATAAATGTTTTAACGTGCACAGGAACTCTGAAAGAAGCTGAACCAGAACAAAATGTGAAAGGAGCAGTAAAAGGTTGTAAACAGATCTAAATATTTGAAGGATGTAAAATGAGCTCTATTAATTTTCTATGAGGAAAAAAAATGGCAGAAAAGGCTAAATTATAGCAGGATCCTGAACGAGCTGAACATTTTATTAGATGATTTGTTGAAATAACTTGAAGACTTTGGGACGAGAATTGCGCCGAAAACACATGGAAGAAAAATGGATCACGATAGTGTGAATGCTTCATAAACATTCACACAATAAATAGATAAATGTAATGTGCAATCGATTTTTAAAGTGATTAAATACAGTGAACTCTGTACTGCACAAAGCTCTGGTTGGATTTAAACTTTTAGAAAGTGACCATTGGATCTACAACTGATTTTATTTATTTATTTTTAATCATCGAAAATGTTTTTAACAGATGATTTCACAGATGTTGGGCTAAAATTAGGGGAGTATGATTTCCAACGCATACACAGATTGCAACTGTTCAATATTTTTGCTCAAATCATTAACTATTGGAGTTGACCTTTTCTGTTAGCAAAACATCTCTTGGAACAGCTGGACAGGTTTTAACAAAACGTTCAGAAATCTATATTTGGATGTACATCTTCAACACAAACCATGTCATGTCTCACATCACATGAATGTCATTTACAAGATTTATACCAAATGGCTGTAACACCAAAAATTTAATTTCTGTCCAGATATTAGACTGTTTTTAAAGTAACACTTTTATTTTGTTGGGTAATAAACTCTAATCTATGATTCATTCGGACAAACTAATTATGTGTACACAGCCTGCATGTTAAACATCTTACTTATTCTTGTCTTCCTGATTTTTCTAAAGGTGAGGAGACGGCAAAGAAATCATGGTTAGACATTAATAGCTGCCATCAAGCTCGATGCATGTGCAAGGCAGAAATGTGTAGTAAATGTGTACTAATTGCTAATTATAAAGTTCACCAAATACTCTTTAAAGTTTGCATTAAAAGGCAGAAAAAAGTGTCTAAAAAAACTCAAGCCAATAAAATCAGGCAGACTGATTAAAAAGTATAAACTGTATAAAAGCAGGAAACATATAGCTACTAAAAGTAATTATTTGTGCCCCAAATACCTTAAGAGAATCCACAACTTACTATTTACAATCGTGTACTTTCTGTGCCATCAGGAGCCTGACTTCTTCTTAAATACTCAACATGTATATATGCTGTGGAAAGTGTTGTGTGGGTGTGTGCTCTGCAAAAGTCTGCAAAAGATTCAGAGAAGTTAACTGCATTTTCTCTGAAGAATTAGACCACTCGTGCAAACATTGGGTACCCGCAGCTGTTGTTCGACACAAAGTCGTACAACAGTAAAAAAAAAAAAACATTTTCAAAGAAGTGACTCATTTACAAACAGAACAATTATTGTAGTAGTGATTCCTACAAGTCAAATAAAAAGCACCTGTTTGTCATCACAAGTACCCTACAAATGGTGAATATTCAAATATTTGTAATGTATAAAGCTAGTTGAAATACAGCTGATTTGACCATTTAAGTCCTTTTATTACGTAAAAATTAAATTGAAACACACCTTTACTATGATTTCCATCAAACAAATAATTGCTTTAAGGTGGTTCAGCGAATCTATTTTTGAAAAACAGCTGATTTAATCGTCAAAGTGCACTTATTACGGAAAAGTTAGACTGAGACACACCTTTGCTATAATTTCAAGCAAACGAATAATTGTTTTTAAGTGTTAATCTTGTTCAAATCCTCCCGCCATTTGGCAGCCAATCGATTTTTGGCACAACACCAGCCCACATTTCTGGGTTGTCAGCGGTGACGCATAGTACGGCGAAGCGATGTATTTATGGATTTTTACAAATTATTAGACATTTTTGGACAGATGCGACTTATACTCCAGTGCGATTTATTGGCTGGAAAATCCGGTAATATAACTTATTTATCCTTAAAAATGGTCAAATGTCATGATGTCTAAAAGCACCATGTTTTTCAATTCATGTTACAAACTGCAGGTTAGAACCCATCTACAATCTGTGAAATAAACATTTACTTCATGTTAAACACAAAAGGCTAAGAAAGTTGTTTTCTTGGGCTACTTTTCTTTTATTCACACATGCAGAGTTGCTAAATAACACATGTTTACCACCCAGCAGTGAGCAATATGCATCAATTCAGTTTAGTCAAGGCCTTTATTGGATCCGTTCTGAACCTTCCAGGTTTGTGTAAACTAATCCACAAGGTGGCAGCATGATCCTACTAACAGCAGAAGAAGGAACTGCAGCTTATTTATTGTAAAACTGGTGTTTTTTGCTCATTTTCACCCACATATGGTGTAATCTTTAACCCATCATTTAAACTCACATGTCCCCAAACCTGTTTTTATGACGGAAGTGATGCAGATCATATTCCTGCAGTGAATCATCGTGCAAAGGCCCGACATGAGTCATGCAACCACAGGTGAACATCAGCTGCAGAGGAACAGGAAGTTAGACTCTGGAGTGATGAAATCTTGACTGTTTACGAGAATGCTTCTGATTCAAACCTGTAACCAAACTGAATCTTTGCTACATTACAAAGCAAACGTGTTTGTTAGTCTCAGAATCCTGATAAAGAAAGTTTATATACCGTATTTTTCATACATAAGGCGCATCAGATTATAAGGCGCAGTAAGTAAAACAAAACTGTCAGATAAGTCAAACTTTATTCAACTCGTTCACAATAACCACATAAAGTCAGTTCCAGGTCAGTAGCGCAACTAGATTTAATACATAAGGCGCACCGGATTATAAAGCTCACTGTCAATTTTTGAGAAAATTAAAGGATTTTAAGTGCGCCTTATAGTCCTAAAAATACGGTACTTTAACCTCACAGAAGTTGCTCTTATTTGCCACTTCTGCATTCCATTGCTCCCCATTTGTAATGAGTTACTTGGACAAGTTGATGACGAGAAGACCAAACACAGGCCTTGGCTTTTCAGCCCCTGACCTCCACACACACTTGTTTTTTTTTTTGTTTTGTTTTCAGCCGGCCTGACGATGCAGCATGTGATGGGAGAATGAATTAGCTTGCTTAGAAAGGTGAGCAGCTCAAAGCACTCAATAATTCAGTGTTTGTAACAGACGGTAGACCGATGGCTGAACATACGTGGGTAGCTATGACTGATGGCTTGGTCCTTCCAAAACAAAAACAACAACAAAAAATAAATAAATAAATAGCAACCCCATTATTCATTTTGTAATAGGATCTGTGGAAATCCTGTAGCCGTTTGTCCCTGTTGTATCACCTGCAAAAATTTGTCGCCGACAAACTGTGAATGTTTAACCCTGCAGTTATTGGCGTTGATGTTTGACTTGAAATTCATTGACAATTTCAGGAATTTTCTTCGACACCCATGAGCGCTTCTCTCCTCTTCATCCATTATGTAGGAGCGAGTAACTGAAGATGCCAGTTTGACTTCTAAGGTTTATTAGGCCGATAAAGCAGTCGGATGGAGAGGAACCCTGGCTCACCTGTGGGACCCTCAGGAAACCTTTTGACTTTCAGGGCAGTAAACACTTTTACAAAAGTGGTGTGCTCTTACGAAGGTTTTTATGATCCATGTGCAATGATCTGTGAGCGAAATAAAAGCACAAATGGATTCTTTTACATTTTATGATCTCAGACAGATCCATAGAATTTAAGCCAGAATGATAATCCCTAGATGACTGCCCTTTCACCCTTCCTCCTCTTTTTTTATTGCAGCAATTGACCTATGGTCTCTCACCTGCCATAAGACAGAGGAAAAGAAAAAAAAACAATTACACACCCAGTAAAGTGCATGCACACACGCACAGAGTCATATCTCATTACCATCCTCCTGATAGTGCAGCCAGTGGGTGTTGCAAGAGGAGGAGGAGGGAATGAAAGGAAGACAGTCAGCTTTACAGAGAGGGAGCCAGAGGGAAGGTGGAGGAGGACAGAACCGGCACTAAAAAAACGGAGAACTAAAATTTGAGGACAAGCGATACGCCTGGGAGCATCAGTGCATCAGGAAACAGCAGAAGAGTTAAAAACAGACAGAGGAGAGGAATTTGCACTGTGTGTGTGTGTGTGATCCAGATCAGTGTGCCTCCACGGTTTCCTCGAGGCCGTGGCAGCCATGGCGTCAGATCCCAGCACCCAGTCCAGGGTGATGTTCCAGGCGCAGGACAAGACAGAAGAGCCGGCGCACCGTAAACTGGGCAAGCTGACAGTGAAGTACAACCGCAAGGACCTGCAGAGGAGGCTGGATATCGAGGAGTGGATCGACGGGCAGCTGCACCTGCTGTTTGACTGCGAGGTAGGACAGGACTGACACACACTTGATGTAATCCACTCCCTGAGGAGGAGGTGAGGGACATGGAGACACTGCTCATATGGTGCCTATGTGGATTATTCATCATGTACGAGAGACTGCAGCGACCTAAATGAGATGTAGGTAGGAGGCATGACTGTGGCACTGAAGCCCTCATATGTCATCAGTTTGACTGCAGTATCAGCTGTGTGTGTGTGTGCTGTAGTCTTCAAACAGGTGATAAAAGCAATTTCCACATGACTCAGCATCATCAGATTAGTTTATTATTATAAGTCCGTGTGGGTAGATGACTGAAACAACAACAAAAGCAGCACAAGAACATTATTATTCCTTTGCAAAACTGATCATTTGTTGCAGATGTGTCTGTTTATATGGTGGCGTCTGCAAACCATATCACACAGTTGCATAACTCTGCATGACATGATTAATGTTGTTTCATATGTTAGAGCATAAATAAAGCTAATTGTTGCATCAAACAGTTTAGCATGACTTTGCAGAACAATAGAAACTAAATATACTTTTATAGGTTGTAAGCGGTCTAAATAAACGGTCAGATTAAGTAAAGTGTCACTGTTTGTTCCAGAAGATGCATCAATCAGCTACATAACAGCACATGTTGTAACTCCTGTCATGTGCTGTGGGATGCAATCCAATTATGTCAGACGCTCCATATTGACTTGCTTGGCAATTCCTGATAGGGAACCATGGCAACAGATGCCTCATCGCCCACATGAGGCGCCTTGGCACCGCGGAGTTGGGGCCGCCTGTTAAGGAGCAAGAACGTTCTCATGCCAGTGTGGATCTGGTGACAAGATCACCTGTTTCACCTTAAGGAAGGCTCAAACAAAGTGATGCTGGTATTATTTGTAAGTCGAAAGCAGACTCTTGGCGTTAAATGGCTTGGAGCCACCTTCCTGCCCAGCATCCCCTCATTACGCTGTCAACATATGGTTTACATACATCTACTGTGGAGTGTGAGCATCCCTCTGACTGGCTGGCTGATGAGTAAAGAAGCTGTTTTTTTATCTAGAAAAATAATACTCTGAATTAAGCGTTGCTAGTTTATTAATGAATCATCGTCATATCACTAAAATGCATGCACACAAAAACAGATCGGTTTACTTTTCTGATCTTTCAGGTGCAACGTAATCTAACATAAGGACAAGTGTAGAGCAGAAATGGACAAACTTTGTTTATATGATGGATTAAAAAAATCAAAATGATTCATCAGGTGACAAGATATTGTAAAATTATTATAGCGTGTGCATCATGATAACACCTGCCCTTCATCAGAGTCATAGGAGAATCAGCTCCTGTAATTTCCACCTGTGATAAACCAGATATTAGCCTGAGCCGCTTGTGTGACTGGCTGTGGCTCGTCCACGTGCGCCGGGTGGTGTGATGAATTTTGCATGGGGCTCTGGGGAAAGTTACTCTGTTGGTTTTCAGAGTCTTCCTCGTGGAAGCGTTTACCATCAGCCCCTCGTGTCGCAACCTGAATTATTTATCTGCGTCTCTAACAAGTGCTGCCTGGAGTCTGGAGTGGACCCCTTCACTTCACACCTTTTAAAAAGTGATAAAATAGACTAAATTGTTTGCAATATAAATATATCAACTAAAAGCACCAGTTTAAAAAAAAAATATAAATAGTGTTTATTAAAATGTGTAGCTATAAGACACATTGTCAATTTATTTAAGATTTGACATGCACGAGAAATCTAAATGAATCCAATCAAGCATCTCAACTTTTTCTTTCAGACATGCTGCTTGGAGCAGTCCTGTTGTTTAAGTCCACCATTTCTCCTTTAGGGGAGTTAATGAATATTTTTAATAGGCTGACAGCTCTTAGTAGGAAAAGGGAGGGTCTGATAAGTTAAGCACGCCAGCGTCTTTTCAGAGCACGCAGATTTTCCGGGGCATGGTTTCCTTAAAACTAGCACAAGCACAAGCAGAAATGTGTGTGTGAAGAGACTGTCGGAAGCTGATGATCTGTTATTATAGTTTTTTTGAGTCATAACCCACTGGATTTTGTTACTTGTTGAATAATTTCAGGAAGTTTAATGAAAACTGCTTTAAGTAGTTCCACACTTGTAAAAATATGTTAGATCAATAAACTCTAATTTACTTAGAGTGTCAAAAAGCCTAATCTCACAGGCACACAACAAATTAAATCTAACCAATCTCTGGTGATCGTCTAATGCAGAGGTGGGCAACGTTTATTTTTTTCTAACGGGTCAAATCAAGACATTTAAAGAAATCACATGGTGCACAGAAAATTGGAAAATAAATTTTCTTTAAGAAATATAATTTAGAGATTTTTTCAGGCTTTTCTTCATTGTAAACAAAGACCACACAATAAGTCTCCACTGCTCTTTAGGAATATTAGACATACTTTGTGTAACCTGGCTCTTGCAACATTTGTTAGTTTATATCCATCCATTATCTTTTACCCGCTTCTTCCTTTTTGGGTCACAGGGGTCACTGGTGCCACTGGTGCCCATGTCCAGCCATCAATGTGCGAGAGGCGGAGGACACCCTGGACAGGTCTCCAGTCCATCACAGGGACACGTAAAGACAAACGAGACAAACAACCATTCATTCTCTCACTCACACCTAGGGACAATTTAGAGTTACCAATCAGCCTAACATGCATGTTTTTGGTCTGTGGGAGGAAACTGGAGTACCTGGAGAAAACCCACACATGCACGGAGAGAACATGCAAACTCCACCCAGAAAGGCCCTCAGTAGGGATCTGAACTGGTAGCCTGCTCGTTGAGAGTATACCCCGCCCCTCGCACAGTGATTGCTAGACATGGGCACCGGCGACCCCCGTGACCCAAAATGGAAGAAGTGGGTAAAGATAATGGATGGATGGATGTATATATTCTTCCACAATTAAGGATATTAAGGGGCCGAAGGAAGATTGCCGAAGAGCCACTTTTGGCCTCGGGCCATATGTAGCCCACGTCTGTTTTAACAGAAATTTTAAAAAGCAAATCTTGTGGTAATGCAAAATTTTTGTTCATTTGACAAATTCAATAGTTGTGAAAAATATCAGGTTTTGAGTCAAAGTATTTGAATATCTAACAAAGATCAGAGAATTGTTTTCACCCAAGGGATGAAGAGTTTAAGGACCTCCTCTCTCCCTCTCCTCTTTCAGACCTAAATTTACCACAATGTCTGTAACATTGAAAACATTATAGTCATTTTGTGTCTCCTATGGTCAGTTACTTGGGCTGACCACCTTGAATCGAGTTAGCCACAAAGGTTAGTCAGTTGTGGAGGCACGGCAGGTGTTTATTTCCTGAAAGCTTCATTAAAATCAATCCAGTGGTTCATGGTATTTTACTAACAGACAGCATTGACTTTATGTCAAACATGAAGATGTGCAACCATCTGAATGTGTGTTGAGGATCACTCTCAACTACTACAACGTCAAAGATTAGGTCAGTAGCTGTAACGTTGACAGAGTTGTAGCTATTTTTAGATTTTTGTAGGTCGGTGTGCTTTTTTGAAAAGGGTGAACCAATAACTTTATGCAAGTTGAATTAAAATGTGTCCATTGCTTCATGTCACATTTTATTAATAGACACAAACAAACACAGAGATAAAGGCAAAAACATCATCCTTCTCTCTGCCTCTCAGTGGCAGGAGATAAAAATCTGCTTCATATAATTATTTTGAGCACGGCAGAAAACTAGCAGAACTTCAGGTTCTTTGATCGATGCTGTTTTTCTGATTTGGAAACACAGTTTGCCAAAAAAGATCGTCTCATTTAGCTGCAGTACTCCAAGACTTGATTTAACATTCATGAGTTCCACTATTAGTGCTAATGTTCGTTTGGGCTTCAGTCTTTTACCTTCAGAAAATGCTGCTGAGATGTTTTATGCCTGGAGCCCTCATTAAAACGCAATGTTCCTCTGACAGTAACGCTCCACAAGCTGAAAACAGTGACGATGCACAGCATGACCCCAAGTTAGAGGTTCTTGGTTTAAAATTAAAGAAAGTCCCTTTTTTATATTTATCACCCGCCGCCATGAAAAGCAGGCAATCATAAGGTCTTGCATGCATTTGTTGGCCTGTTTGTTAGCAAAATATTCCATAAAACAGCAAACAGATTTAAATGAAACTCTTAGAAGATAAAAATCGATTGTATATCTAAAACTGATTAGCCTTTAAAGTCAGTAGACAAACCTAATAAAATATGACTTCTTTACATTTAATTCTGTTTATACTGGCAAACCAGTCGACAATAATCACAGCGGAATACCAACAATGAATAATAAAATATTTTAACTGTAAAAAATATATACCCGTAAAAATAAAACACGAATTTTACAAACTCAAAGGCATTTGAACCAGTCCAGTCATGTAAAGAATACACACATAAAAAAGAACCCAACCCTACACAGCACAGAAACCTACAGCACGGAGCAAAAGTTCAGCCGTAGATTTATCCTGCAGACTTCAGCAGAATCAGAGGGCCCAACCTGGCACTATGTATCAATTAGAGGGAGCACAGGGGACTCTGATGAGGGTCCATCTATTTCTCCACTCAGCACTTCCACATTGATTACCTCTCTGCTTGCGTAGAGAGCTGTGCAAGCCCAGTCGCCTTTAGACAAGAAAACCCCCCATCCGGAAAATATTCCTTCTAAAAAAAAGAGGCCACTTGTCAAATGTGAGCGTACGCCTGCTGACTTCAGATATCTCCAGGACTCTGCTGATTAGCTCTCGTTTTATGATGTCAATCCATCACTTTTTTATATTTACCTTTGATGAGGGGAGACTTTGTGATGTGTACTGAACTGGCAATGATCTTTAAATGCGCTGCCAATTGCTGAAATACGCTCAAAATTTTGTCAGGTCTTTAAAAAGCGCAGGTCATTGCATCCAGTTCAAGATGTCTGCTCCAGCTAAGCAACCTAATACAACAATGGCTATAACTTAGTTAATCTTACAGATATCAAGCTAAAATTGGCAAGGTAGTAGCTATCCACCATACTTAGTACATATTTGATATATCACAGTGGTTTCATATTTTTACCTGAATATATCAACATTGACTCTTGGTGTCAACTCATCCGCTGAACCAGTGATCAGGATCTAACTCACTGAACCATCTGTAAAATCTGATGAAATGAAAACTCTGTTCTCGTGTCTTCAGCCTTTCTGCTTCTATGTTCATCAAGCACATAATTTTAATGAGAATTAAACACAATCACAAAGACATTACACCTGAAGCGTTAGCATCCAAAAACATCAGCTATTATGTTTTTAACGCCGCAGTTAGAACAGATATGTGCCGCATGACTTTGACTAATTGTGCTCAGCGGTGCGGAGATTTTAACAACAGTGAAAAGATGGCGCAGCGCCATTATCGTTAATTCATTTTTCATACTTGCTGTATTGTGTTCAGACTTGTTGGTTGGGCAGGAAGCAAACAAGGTCAGCGATTCATTCATGGACAAATACTCATAAGACAATCACTGACACTCAGTGAAACTCATTAAACTCACTAATTGACCCAACATAAATGGGTTTGGACTGTTGGAAAAAATGTCCTAACTGAGTTTTAAGTATTAGTATATTGCATAATAAAAGTCGCAAGAGCCATAAAAGCGTGCAAAAACACAGTGTGGGTATCATTAACTTTTATTTCCCTCTAATCTCACAGGAGGACGAGATCCCAGAGTTAGAAATTGACATAGATGAGCTCCTGGAACTGCCTGACGAAGGGCAAAGATCTCGGCTGCAGGTACAACTTAATCATCATTCCATATGTTTTTACACTTCTTTTTCTGATTAGGATCATTTACGAAAGCCAATAAAAAGTACTCATGTGCTTTAATTGTTGTAAAAGAATCAATTGAGGTCAATATAAATTGGCCTCATTTACAAAAAGGGAAAAATATTTTTTATTAATGTCAAAGTCAATTCAAATTTCTACAGAATAATATTAAAAAAAAATATGTAACATAAAATAAATTATATATAAAAAAAAAGTTCACTCCCTTTAAAGTGACAATCCTAATTCAACTCGGATAAAATAAATATTGAAGAAGTTGGGGTGGATACAAAAGGATTTTCAAGGCCCCAAACATCCACAGGAGTTCTGTTAAATCCATCGTAAAGCAGTGGAAGGAATAAGGGACATGTGTAAATCTACCAAGAGCAGGCCGCCCTCACAAATTGGACTGCGAGACGAAGAATATTGAGAAGGGGCACTGTGACCACTCTGAATGCTTCAGCAGGTGAGATGGGTGAGACTGCGCATACAACAACTGTTGCCCTGGTTTCTCACCAGTCTACGTTTATGTGAGAGCGGCAAAGAGAAAACCACCGATGACGAAAGCACTTTAAATCTTGAATAAAATCTTTAAACAATCTAGACACATTCTAATGTTTAATTCAACAGTGTCTTTCTCCTTGCCATTCATAAAGTTTAGACTGGTGAACCCATGCAGGCCACAGTTGTTATACGCAGTTTATCCCATCTCACCTGCGCGTGAAAGGCCTGTTTCCTGTTCAGACTTTACACTAAAAGAAATAATTTTCACCTCCTCCTATCTGAAAAACGTAATTTCATCACGCAAATAAGTTATGTAGTCAATAAATAAATGAAGAAAAAACAACTATAGTTTAAAACAGTGATTCCTTGGGGCAGGGGTCTGCAACCTGCGGCTCTGGAGCCACGTGTGGCTCTTTGGTGCCTTTACAACGGCTCTTTCAAGCTTTGACCAAAACTAACATAAAACTCAATTTTATTGTGAATACTGGAACAAGTGCAAGAAATAAAACATACTAGCTTTATTTCTATACAGTAGCCCCTCGCTACTTCACGGTTTGTTTTTCGCAGACTCGCTCTATCGCGGTTTTTTCAAAGTAAGATTGGACATGACACACAATGGCTGATTGATCCGTATGGAATTTTGATTTTAAATAAATTATTTACAATTATTTAGCACCTGTGTGTAGCCCACAGCTGTGGGAGAAGCTTCCTCCTGCAGCTGAACAGCTGATCTCCATGCAGAGCGAAGAAGTGGGCGTGGCCGAGAGTGCAGGCAGAGAGCTGAAATCATGACATTCTGTGACCTTTTAGAGCATTTAGAGTTTAGAAATATTGTTTAGAATATTGCAAGAGTGTGGGAAGAGTTTCAAACACTGTAATATGTAAATACTAAAATAAAATACTACTACTTGTACTTCTATTCCTACTTTGCGGTTTTTCACTTATCACAGGTCTTCAGGATACGGATCCCCCGTGATAAATGAGGGACTACTGTACTTGATTTTTCCACAAAATTAAAAAATGTACATAGGTCTGCATAGTTCATAGTTTTTATTAATTAAAAAAAAAGATTTCCGCCTCCCTCACTTTACAAGAATCTGGTCTTTTCATTTGTCTTAACTTGTAAAAATATCAAAAAAATGTTAAAAATTATTAGATATTTTTAGCTTTATAATGTCACCCCCAGTGGCCACAAAAGTCCCTTCCAACAAACCTAAAGTGGCCCACGGGCCACCAGTTGATAATCACAGTTGTAGCAGGTTGTTGCGGCTCTGAACACATTTAATTTAGTGAACGAAGACATAAAAATGGCTCTTTTGATCGTAGGTTGCACACCCCTGCCTTAGGGAGAGAATAGTTTTTAGTTTAGATTATTGACATACTGTAAACATATTTTATACTTAAAAGCAAAAGTAAAGTGAAACGTAATTTCAAAAAACATACTAAGACATTTGCTTTTTAAAAAAAAACTAACTTTATTACTATGTGACACGTCTTCAAACACTTTGGTTCATATCTACATTACATATAATCATTTAATTCATAATTTTCAAAGATGTTTGATCATTTTTAATTCAGGTTCTGTTAACATTTTGAGACTTTCACATCATAATGTTGTCACTGGTTTTAGATCTTTCTACATTTACTCTGACTGTAATGAAACAATTTTTTTTTGTTTTTCAAATAGACAGAATGACATTTAAAACGAATTTTAACTTGAACTAATGAGTCTTTTTTTGTTTGTCTTTGTCAGGAGTTGTTGAATGAATGCGGAAAGCCAAAAGAGGTGAGATGAACAACAACAAAAAGTGCACTATAAAATAAAAACAGCAACCTTTATTAAAATGGGGTTTAAGAGTTTAACGTCCTCTCTCGATCTTCCTCCTAGGACTTTATCAACGGACTGCTCTACAGGATAAAAGGTCTACGCAAAATGTCCTTGAAGAAATAATTATAGGTCAAATTAGGAATCAAGACAACGTTGAGCCTCTTATCCTCTCGTCGCTCACAAGTTAACCATTTCAACGCTTGTATGCAAAGACGGCACATCAACGGGACTGCGTTTTGGCCTCTCATCCTTTCTGGGTCAGAATGGATACAATTTCCCTCCTCTTTATGAGCGCTTCAAGAATTTTACCTCCTAACATACAAGTAATATACAACTGAAAAAACGTCATACCTTTACTCAGATGGACTCTTTTTGTGTAGGAGTGTACATTTTCAGTTTCTTATTTGTGTACATAAGCATTTTGTTCAGCTAGCAGTGTTGTTGGAATAAAATGGAACATTTTCAAAACACGGCTGCTCGTGAATTGAACAAACCGATGAACCGAAACGCATCATCAGATATAATTTCACATGAATAAAATACGAAATATAAACTACTCCCAACACAAACCTAACCTCTCCGTTATCACAGCTGCTCTTCACTCATTGTCCCCCGTCTGGACACAACTGAAAGATATTCCCAGAATGCAAGATTCTGTCCTTTCTGGCATAAATTTTCCAGCAGTGATGGAAACAATAAAGGCGTTGACATGTCGAGTGTAAGAGTAAACACAGAGAAATCAGCTGCAGGATGTTCCATTAAGCGTGCGCCCATTATCCTCTTCCATTTCCTGTCTGTGGTGGTGAGGTGGTGTGTGTGACATGGCCAGAAAAAGGCAAACACGGCCTCCATACAAACCTTAATGGAGCAAGCCCCCAGGAGGAGAGAGTAATTATGGTTTCCCCCTCAGTTAGCAGGACAGTAATGCACGCTGATGAAAGTGCACTCTGGTACTTGCGCTGTCATGCACTGGGGGTCTTTTTGTCGAGGGCTCCATTACGGTCATTTGTATAACTCTACTCCACATCTGTTTCATTTCATGCTCGACACTGGAGCCATCCGTACAGCAAGACTTCGCTTACAAACAAGATCCGTCAGTGTGTCGCTCTTTAAACAGACTATTTTAGTTTGAAACAAAACACAAAGGTGTGACAGTATCCAATAGTTTTGCTTCATTTATAATTAAACCACACACAAAGACAAGAAAACGTCATAATTACAGCCAAACATAGACAAGAATGACAACATAAAGTACACAAAGGCCTCAGTGATCCTTTTATACTGACTCGTTCTTCAGTTTGGAGCCCACAATAGTCTGGGAGCATACATCATCTCAGATGAACTCATAATCTGTCTGCTTTGTGTTGTAAAAAGTTAAAAATAATCAAGTGATGATGAGCACAAAGTACACTTAGAACACGGCTTTGTTGTCATTAAAAAATAGGGCAACTAACAAAAAAAATATGCTTGTTCACTTTGACAGCTCTGAACTGCTTTGTGTGCAGCAGCTTTGCATTTTTATTGAAATATCACCACTAACAGTTTCCTAGTTTTTGCCTCTATTCTTAAAGGTTTCTGAATATTCCATAAAATATATGGTTCAAATATTACCCATAGTGTACCATAATCAGTAAAGGCTAGTCTATTTTTAGTCTCTTCTAGAAAAGTATTCCTTTAATGTATTTCATTTATATCAGCCTCAGTAGGTACCACAAGCAGGAACAGCTTTTCCTGTTAATGAATGGCTAACATAAGTAATGTGTTATGAAAGTCTCTGAATTGTAGATAATACAGTAAGCAGTGTTTAAATTTCCTAGGATACTTTTGTAGTTGCAGTAACACGTCATTGAGGGTAAAGACTGAGTCTCACGGTCTTGACGGGTTACAGTTTGCTAAGGGAAACAGCTCTATGATCACGTCTTCCTCTTCTTTTTGGGAGCGGTATAGTTAGCGGTGCGATGCTCCATCCTGTCATATTTATCATGGCCTTCCCTGGGGAGACAATAGAGGGTGGATTGATAATTCATCACACTAAATACTTTATATTCATGCTGCTTAACAGTATGGTAGCAGCCTGTGCACATTTATCTGGGTCATGGTATGCAATCCAAAGCATCTTTCTTGGGTAGATTAAAGATTTCCATGCAAAGCCCTACTTTGAGTCATGACCTGGAGTCTTAATGTATTTATTAAGATTAATAGGTTTGATGCTACCTGAAGCAGCGGTTGCAGTACAGGTCTCCATCACAGGTGTGACAGCGGAGGGTGGCGTTACGGTTACAGATGCAGCACCACGGAAGCTCTTCGTCATCACTGTCTGACGGCTGATGGGCAACAGCAGCCGAAGGCGTCTTGCTCTTTGGCCCAGGAGCTGCAGTCTTTAAAACACATCAAATCAAAAGTGTTTTCTAGGTTTTGCACTCAAAAAGCTTAAAACAGTTATGAATTTGTCTGTCGAGTGTTGTTTAGTACAGTTTTTTTGGAGCTCTGTTTTTTCTCTGTGTTCTTCGGACCACTCTGTTCTACAGGTATGTTGTATCCACTGGCTTCATCGAGTGCAGTTTCTTCTGAAAGCTGGAACCAGAAGAATTAGAACGTCAGAACTTTTCTGTAGGAAAAAAAAATTCACGAATGATAAAAGAGGCCAAATAGCAGCCTCTTGTGGCCACCATGACATTTAAATTAGGTTTGTCCAGCTTGTAAGGAGCAGCAGATTTGCTTCTAACAAATCAGTATCATTTAAAGTACAGTGCGAGTCTTGTTCCTTTAATTTGCTGACCTGTTTCAGAACTCTTCTCATAGCTTCTTCCTCAGTTTCCTCCTCACTATCAGGTTGTTGGAAATCTTCGGCTCTTACTAAATTTGAATCGACACAAATGGCAGCTCATGAGGCACAAGCATTTTGTGTTCTGGTTTCCTGACATAAATTTGTAGATTATATATAGAATTAATGAGCAAATAGTTCTGAGTACCTTTATTTGGGTCCTGCCCCTTTAACTGCGCCAGCCTCTTAGCCATGTCGAGGATCTCATCCTGGGTATGGTGCTCATTCCTCAGCTCCTTCATGGCTTCTTCAAGCAGATGGTCTTTCTCTGCCTCCAGCTGTTTAACTGCTCCCTGGTTGTCCTCCAAGTCCTCATCTAATTCAGCCCCCTCCCCTTTGTTAAGATCATTCAGATCTATATCTGTAAAAATAGTTTTGCTATGCTCAGGAATGCAATGAATCCTACGTCTTCAGACAGTGCAACACTGTTAATGTTACTGTTACGTAACAGAATCATTATTCGTAGCTTGAGATTTGTGAGCCAGGTAATAACTTACTGCTTTCTGGTCTTGATTGTTGGTTGTCAATGGCAACTTCCTCCGTCATCTGCTTTAACAAATCATTGGCTTGTTCAGTCTGAGTCCGTCTATCAAGAGGCTGGTGCACCTGTACACATTAGCACTGGTGTTAAGAAATTTTGATCATTTTTGACTGATTTTGACAATTTTTTTTCTTTTTAAAATGCATCTGGTATTTGAAACGCTAAATGAGCTGTATGGTTTAGGTCTGAAAGTTTAGAAACAAGTAGGAAGGGAACTCACAGGAGGAGGTGCTTGAGATGGCGGTGGCAGATCCCGAAGAGCTGCCAGACGATGCTCCATCTCATCTGCAGAAGGCACTGGCTGGCTGGGAGCTTTCAGGGCAGCAAGGCGTGACTCGATCTCCTTCTCAGAAGGGATAGTCTCTGGAGAAATGATAAAAGTTGTTGTTGGCTTTTTGAAAGAAAGATATATTACAGTACTGCATTTAATAAATTTGATCAAAAGTGATTGCTGCCCCAAAATGTAATTTCATTACTGGGTTTATTGTCTTCCTTTAGCTTTTGAAGTCTCTCAGCTATAGCTTGGTCTTCTTTACTCAGGCTCTTAGTGGGAAGATGGCTTGTTTTACTGTTTCTGTTTCCTCCTTGTACAAGAGGCTGGGTTGACTGTCCTTGCTGTTTGGCCTCTTGTGCAGCAACCCGTCTATGGAAAACATAAACTTTAGCTATTTCAAAACTTCTGTGTTCATAATGAGCCTTTCTTTCTCCCACCCCCAAGTATGATCATATACCAACTTTTTGTAATTTTCAGGAGGGGACAATCTTCCAGCACTGTTTGGAGATTCTCCCCTAACAATAAAAAATACAAGAAATTGTGAAGACGATTACAGTATTTAGGAATTTAATGTGCGTAGTGAAAGGAAAGGCTGTTACCTTGTTAGATTACCATGACATTGCTTGCAGACTTTCTGCTGGGTGTTGCCATATCGAGGCACCACAGCACTGAAAGTCAAACAGCTCGAGCAGAAGGAACGTCCACAGCTCTTACAGCCCAGCTAAGAGGACATCACAATGTATTAAGCTACATAACATACATCCCTATAGGTAAACACATTTAGATACAACCTTACCTCTTTCTTAAAAAGACTAAACTTTGATGCACAACAGTAACAACGGTTGTCCATCCCGACACGCGTAGAGTCAAAAAACAACAAGGTCACAGCTTATTTTTCTCTACAAAAAAAAAAAACATTTAATGAGCTATATTATCCAAGTTAGCTATCGATTTACAGGTTGACAAAGCTATCGTTGTCAACACAGGAAGTAAAACGGAAATGTCACGTGACGTCAGCGACGACTAGTTCCGTTTTGTGGTTCAACCAATCAGCTTTTAGGAAAGGCTCTCGCGGGCGTTGTTCAAAACACAGAGCCCACTGCTCAACGGCGTCCCAGCTCCATCGTTGTGTGCGTGTAATTAAAGGTCAAAGAAGGCTAAGAAAAAAAGGGTACGAAAACTTTTAGGGTATTGTAATTTGTTTTACTTCATGGTTTCTAAGCAAAACTAGATAAAATTGTGGCCCACGAAGAAGACTATTGAGCTAAAGACACGAACGTGTGTTCGCTAGTTAGCCTAGTCGCGGTGTCTAGTGTTGCTAACTTGCTAGCATCCTGGAAACCAGTTATCCTTAAGCAAATAAGAAGAGAGTTATTATTTACAGGTGTGCATTTTTTTGATGCCCATACTTTTTAAGATAAATACTTTTGTTTTAATGGATTTAAAGTAGCAAATATGTTCGATCGCTGTCTAATCCTGGTAGAGGGCCAATTCCCTGCATGTTTTAGATGTTTGCTCCCACACACGCCTGATGAAGACCAATGGGTCTTCTGCGGAACATGAAGAAGTAATTCAACCACTGAACTGGGTTTGCTGGAGCAGGAAAACATGCAGGCTGGTGGCCCTCGAAGACCAGGATTGGACATCCCTGCAGGCTGTACAGCATCCATATGTTTAGAAACTTGTGCAGGATTCTTTTTGCACCATCATATCCAAGGGATCAGGCAGGCTGCAGCACAGAGCCAGTCGTTTTTATCATTTTGATCAGGGCTTTTTTTTAGCTCTCTGGATCTGATTTTGCAACCCAGTCACAGATTTATGCTCATCATCTTTCCAAAGCACAATTATTAGTTTCCCATGTTGAATTTAAACGAGTGTTTGCTGTTTGTTCATCTGTAAGATCACATTTCCATTCTAGTCCATTTGTCAGGTTAACACTGGGGTATCTGTAAGTCCCTTAGCTCATACTCTTGTCTATTATTGCCACAACTACAGAGTCATTTGATGATGGGTCTCAGTTGTACTGGAAGACAGAGATGTACAAAATGGATGTAAACAATAAGAATATAAGCCCAGTTTTTGGATTATAAAAGAAGTTGCACAAATAAATGTCCCGGACCTGCTGGGAACATTTTAATTAGGAATAATTTGGATTATTAGTAGTATTATTTTTGTTTTTTTACTTGCTTATGCCAATAAGAAATTGGGGAAAATTTAAAATTAGCAACAAAAAAAGTGCAAATGTGTTTAAATAGCATGTTCTTCAGAATGTTGAGTGTATAGCCATTGTAGGTGGTTGAGTAGCTGTTGCTCAATTCTGGCAAAAAAAAAAAAAAAAAACTAAGTAAATTGCCTTGAAATGTACTACAGTTGTAAACATAAAAGATGATTAATGTGGATTGGATTTAAGCGTTTTAAGAAAAATATGGTTGACTTGTAACAAAAACATGAGCATCCTTGTAAAATAAGAATTAATATAGTTCATACTTAAAACATCTTCAAGTAATTAAAATTATTTATTTGTCTGTAGGTGTCCAGTCTTTCTACAATGGCAGAAGGTGGAGATGTGGACTGGGAGCTCAGCAAAGAAAACATCCAGCCTCTGAGGCGGGGCAGAGATATATCTGCTTTAAGTCAGGCCCTCAGTCAGCAACAAGATGGACCTACCTCTGCAATCAACCAACAGAGGCAGTGGGATAATCTATTAAACCTTACACTTAAATTGGTACACTTTTTAATATACAGTTTTGACATTATTAACCAGGATTTTGTGTCTTTTTGTTTCTTCAGGGCCTTTGAGTCTGAACTTCGGATATACGATGGAGACGATCCACTCAGTGTTTGGGATCGGTCTGTAGAATATCTGAAAACAGTGCATTTTCAAGCATCACTCTGTAAATCTCTTACTAATTTTTAAATGGTTTTGTTTTTTTACAGGTATATTAAGTGGACAGAGCAAACCTTCCCTCAGGGAGGGAAAGAAAGCAACCTCGCCACACTGCTGGAACGGGCTGTAACCAGATTCTCAGAGGAAAAAGATTATTACAACGATCCTCGCTATGTTGAATTCTGGATTAAATTTGTGTGTATTTTTTTGTTTAAACTTAGTCTGATTTTGTTGTTCTTAAAACAAACGAAGTGGTGGTAACTACGCGTTTGTGTTGTGGGTCACCAGGCAGAGAACTGCTCGGAGCCCCTGGATATTTACAGGTACATGCAAGCTCAAGGAATTGGAGTGACTCAGGCGGCCTTTTACATCGCCTGGTCTGAAGAGCACGAGAATCAAGGCAATTACCAAAAAGCTGACCTTGTTTATCAAGAGGGGTTGAAGAAGTTTGCTGAGCCACATGATAGGCTCCTCCAGTTTCACAAGTATGAATCCATTGAGCGCAATTTCATTAAGTACAGCTCCCAGTTTGTTTCACTGTGCCACAATAATTTGCGTTATTTAAAGGGCTTTGCAGGCTCGTGTATCCCGCCAGGCTGTGTTAAACATGGAGAAAGACTGTAGCGATGAAGAGACAAAACAAACAGAGAGGGTTTCTCTAGCTGCCCTCAAACATAGAGGGAAGAAAAAGGCCGTCGCTCCTGTCATCAGAACTGGACCAGCAATCAAAGGTACTCGCATAAATCTGCTGTGAAACGCTTTGCTGAAGTTACCAGTACTGCAACACTTACTGTGTTTACTTATTATTGGTTGACAGGTGTTTCTGGAGGCCTGCAGTCGCACAGCGTCCCTGTCCTCAAAGTTTCGAACAGTCGGCTGGTGATTTTTGATGAGAACAAAACTGAAGGTGCTGGTCCATCAGAGCCCAGGTTGGAATCTTGGGCGGTTCCTCCCACATCCAGGGCAAAGGAGAATGAACCAAAGCTCGAAAAATGGTGCGACGTTAAGGTACGAGAAACCCCCATTTAGTTTATTTCTGTAATTACGTGTACTGCAGTCCATTTGAAATGGCTGATTTTTCTGATTAATATTTATATTTCACAGATTCCCCAGAAAACTAAATATGGGTGTACAGTTATGGCTCCACCACCAGCAAAACCCACCTTTCAACCATTTGTTGAGGAGTCAGACCAGCTCCCAACCATGTGAGTAACAGAGTCCATCTTTTTGTTAGTTTTGGCATAAATTGAAAGTTGACCAAAACAGTAGATATGTTTCTGGTATGTCTGCTGGAATGCTTTACATGCTGGTAAAAAAAAACATGAAATCTGTAGATGCCTTATAGAAAGCATTCTTGGAATTTAAGAAAACTTGAAGCAAAGGGGAAATCAGCAGTTTTTTCAGTAGCTTTTCACTTTGAAGGCAACAGTTTTGACAAGTAGTTACATGGTTTACTTTACAATCATTTTTATAACGTCCTTCTCCAGGACACCGTGTAAAATCAACCCGGCAGTGAACACGGTTCTGTCGGCGCGTAAGCCGAGCAGAGACGAAACTCCCCTGAAGAGACTGCAGGACCAGCAGCAGCAGCACAAGGAGGCGGAAGCAGGGAAGCTTCAGGAGCAGAGCATGTACTGTAAGGAGCTGCTGCTCAGCGGCGCCACCGAGTTCTGCTTCGAGGAACTGCGGGCTGAACGCCACTTCAAAAAGACTGCACAGGAGCTGCAGGAAGCTGGAAGGGAGGAAAGTCAAGCTAATTAAAAAAAAACAGTTTTAGCATTCATTTTGACAGGTATCATGTCACAACTGTTCGTGTATAGTTCGTTGTTCAGCTGTAAATATTGCTTTTGTATCGAAGACAAACTGAGAAAAGCTCAATTCAGGACACATGAATATAAAAAGTGCACCGTTTATTAAAAAATCTACAAAGTGTAACAAAACTTCTAAAGCTCCAGACTTCCAAAGTATTGTAGACGTAACCACACAGCTTCAAATATGTAATTACCGATGGGTTTATAATAGTGTACAAACAAGTACCACTCAGTTTGTTCTTAATTTCACTTTGTCTCTGTGCTGTTCTTTAGAATAGTATTTTTATGTGTGCTGCTTTTCTAAAGCTTTTGTCTCATTCAGTTTTTTCTTGAGCAGGTTTTTATTTTTATTTTTTTTGCTCTTGAGACTTGAATTTAGACTCTGAGGCCATTTCTAGTTTCACGTCTGAATACAAGCACCGTCTAAACCAAGTCTTGCTGACATTTAATAAACTTGTTCAGTCATGTGATGACTTGAGATGCATGTTTTTAGAAAGAAGGGCGTTGGAGTGACGCACAGTCAGCAGGTAGCATACCAGTGACCAAAGATTTACACCAGATTTTACTTGAATATTTAAAAGATTTAGTCCAGTGGGCACCATCCAGGATTTAATTTTTTATACGTGTCTTTCCCTCAGCCAGCTGAATAGATCTTGCAACAAAGTGAAATAAAACATTTAAACTGTTTACATAATATGATCATGTCGCTAAATGTTTGCAATATTTTGTGAACTGCATTTGAAACTAGAGAAATTGCATTTCCTGCAAAAATACAGTGTGAATCCTTATTGCAGAAGAACTTGCTGAAATCAGCTTAAAAAAATCTGAAATGTAGCTGAAATTAAAGAAAAAGCCTAAATAAATTAGCAGAAGAAAGCAGAAAGAATATTTGCTGAATTAGGTTTAAACACTGGTATGCAGAAATGAGCACAAAAATTAGGATATCCGCTATTTAAAAAAAAATGCTCAAATTAGCAAGAAAGTCTAAAAAGTAGCTGAAAAGACAGAAAGAAGCTTAACCTACGAGGAGGTGGAAAGAGCTGAAATTAGCTTAAAATGTGGAATTGGCTGAAAAAGCTAAAATTTGCATAAACAGTAGTTGAAAAAACTGAAACTATCTTAAAAAAAAGCTGATAGGAGCAAAACAAGCTGAAATTAACAGAAGTGAAAGTAGCAGAAATTACCACAAAAAAACAAACGAATTTAACTAAACAGTTTAAATTAGCTCAAATTCAGCAGAACAAGCTTAAATCAACAAACGAAAGCTGAAAGAACAATTGTTTGCCTAACTGGGCTGAAAAAAGAAATGAACACAAAAGGTAGAAATTACTGTATTTGAAAAAAAAAAAGCTGTATAGCAAAAAAAAAAAAAATCTGAAAAGTAGCTAAAACAGCTGAAATTACAAGCAGAAAGTAGAGAGCACATTATTGCTAAATTAGGCTGGGAAAAAGTTGAAATGAGTGCCAAAAATGTAGAATTAGCTGAAAATGCCTTAATTAGCATAAAAACAGCTAAGTAGTGGCTAAAATAGAAAAAGATGAAACTTGCAGAAAGAAGTTAAAGAAACACAAACATGTTATAGTTAGAAGAACAAACCTGAAACTAGCTGAAAAAGGTTTAAATTTGAAAGAAGCCGAACCAAAACAAAATGTAAAAGGAGCAGTAAAAGGTAAACACATCTAAACATTTGAAGGATGTAAAATTAGCTCAATAAATTAATTTTCTATGAGAAAGAAAATGGCAGAAAAGGCTAAATATTTCAAAAAAGCTCAAGTTGCACCAATACCAAAAGTCATAGGGGGATTGTCCTGAAAGAGCTAAATGTTTTGATATACAATACGATTTGTTGAAATAGCTTCAAAACTGCGGCTCGAGAGACGCGCCCAAAAATGTACAGAAGAAAAATGGATCACAATAGTGTGAACGCTTCATAAACATTCACACTATTAAAGCACAGGGAAGCTAAATGTCTGGATAAAGGTAGTTTCAGTTCAGGTATAGTAAGCATGGAGGTTGGCTTCTAGTTAGATTTGTTGAAAAAAAACAAACATTTGTCCTGTACTTTAAAGGCAAAAGAAGGAGTCAGGTGGCTGAAAAAGTGATTTTTAGGTCATCTGTTATAAACGTCAGAAGACTGACAAAATCACTTTCTCCAGTTTTGTAAGCTGAGTTGAGAACACGTTAAATTTTAAACATTTATCTCAAATACAAACATTTAATGCAGTAGCTCTCACTTAGGCAGCTGTTAACTTTATTAGACTAGTATGGTCATTCATAAGTTCAGCTTAAAAAGCTTTTTACCTACTAAACAACTCATTGTTTCCAGGAGATCCTTGGCTGCACACGGCAGAAAAAGATGAAATACCTCCTCGTGATCAAGAGTAGTTTTAGTTACAATGCTTCCTTTGTATCATAACAAACTAACACCACGCTCGAAGCAAAGAAAAAAAAAAACTGAAAATTTATGAAAACAACATTTGTCTTACAATGAATGAAGATCAAGTGCACAATGTTGAAAATTGAATAAAATGGTTTGGTGAAATCTTTTATGAATTTATATTTTAGGCTCAGGACAAGCGGCCATCTACTTTGACCGACTGGGTTTGAGAGGAACCGGAAGGAGGAACAGATACACAATGGCAGGTCGAGAATCACCTTAGAAGCAAAAGACTAGCTAAAAGCTAAGGTAGTAAAACCAAAAGGATGTTAGCTAAAAGTAGCAAAAGGCTAGTTAAAAACTAAAAGAAGCAAATGATACAATTTTGCTTTTCCATTCAAAAGTTAAAAATCACAAAAATGATGACTTAGCATTCACACAACATAAGTAAAGCGGCTTCCAACAGACAGTTTTCCTGCAGACTGGTTCACTGTAGCTCTTTATATTTGACTTTTCGTGACGAGTGAGGAGGACCATCATTATTTTAGCTCCTTCGCCAGCTTGTCTCATCAAAATGCCATGCGCTACACGGATGTCCCAATTTTGACTCACTCTTGCCGGCAATTTCTGCACGACTTGACCCTAATACATTTTTTTCTGCTTTGAGTCTCATCCTAGCTACTGCATAAATTATTCAGGGAGCGATTGTGGTAAAAAGAAAAGAGGAGCTTTCACTTGGGTTAGAATCATGTATGTATAGGACTTCTGGAGAAGTGATGCAACATTGTGTCTTCATCCACAAAGATTTTAGGTGACACTGGACTCATGAGGATTGCCCGTCACACACTTCCAAATACAAAGGCTCCTCCTGCCATCTGCCATCCCTGACCCTGTCAGTTCATCGATAATGCATCTACACGCTCAAGTAAAGGAGACAGAGATGGAGGGTGGGGAGATGGATGAAAGGTAACCCAGGTGACGAGAGGAGCTCTCCTTTCCTTACTGTCACCAGAAACCAGTTTAAACACATACACAGCTATCAGTTCTTTTGCAGACCAATGAGGGAGTGGGAGGAGGCAGAGAAGGAGGGGAGTGATAGAGAGAGAGGGAGGGTGTGTGTGTGTGTAGAAAGACAGTGATCTTGAGAGGGAGAGAGGAAGGGGGGGATGGATGGGGATGTAATATTCTCTCCTGGATACTGCCTTTTTCCTTTCCATGGCTTTGTCCTTCCTTTGTGCAGCAGTGTCCCTGGGAGCGGTGCAGGGTGCAGCACTCAGCCTCAGAGCCGGGGATGAATCAAGCCCAACAAAGAGCCTTTGAGATGGCAGCGTGTGCTTCTGCCTGGAGGGAGGAACGCATCAGGCTTTCCCAGGCAAGCGGCAGCCTGCAGTGTGCTCTGGCTTGAGAGTCTCCTCATCGCTGAGACAGGGCGATGGGTCTGGTGTGTGTGTGAGTGAGCAGTTGGATAATCGTGTATGTGAGGGTGTGTGTGCACACTCTTGCTTCCAATCCTTCCTGGAGGAGAGAGGCTCTCCTCTTCGTAAGGTAAGGAGGATTTGCTTTCTTCTGTCACTAATTTATCCCCCCAGAGCCCTGGGTACCCTCATTCCATAATGAGGAGAGTGGAGTGAAGGTGGGAGGAGGGAGAGAAGAGGGTTAACGTCACTGATAAAGAGCAAGTATGGCATCGTTAGGCATCAGCCGTGGTGGAGAAGGAGAAGATGCGTGGAATGCAGCACAGGCAGGAGCAGATGAGGAGGGAGAACGGGGAACATCTGAGCAGGCTGTTTGATGTTTTCAGTGATGGGCACCTCAAAAGAGGAACTCCTCACCTTCTGCTCACCCCCTCTTCATCCAGCTCCCAACATCCTCAGCCTCCTTCTGCCACTATTCCTGAAACGGCACATGGCAAATCCGGTTTCTCCAGTTTCTGTTTTCATGGCAGACACTTCCTGTTTTTATCACTGTGTGTGTTTTTGTGTACGCTGAGTCCTGAACTGAGCTTTTTTTGTGTGTGTACCAACACTTTTGCTGCACATTAGTGGATGGATGTGGGAAAACAGGAACAATGCGGTATATTGGGAACTGACAGGGACATGTGTTCTGAATGTTTAGAAAACCTGTTGGACTGGAGCTTATAATGTGGGAGGCAATGTTTAAACTGTTCTGTTTGGATTTGGATTTGCACAGTCCTGGGAAAAGTAGGTTTGCAAACTCTGTCTATTAGTGTCTTTATCAGATCTTAAGTGCCGAGTAGAAATCAATCTAAGGCTATAAGGTGATTTAAGGAAGTCTATGGGTTTTAGTTGCAATCCAGAGCTTTAAGAGCTACAGCTCGCTTATATTCTGACAGAATCACAAACACTCATACAGTAAATAAGACTGTTTACTGAAGAAAAAAAAAGTTTGAATTCATCTGTTATTGCTGCACGCATCATTTTAAAAATATCAGAAGAGATTTTCTCCGTGGCAGCGAGAAAAGGATTCTGCGAATTTTGTCATGTCTGGCTGGTGATGATGAAACTTCAAGTAAAAGCTGTGTGCTCATGTCTCAGGTGACGCATTGATATGCAAGGAGGAGGAGAGGAGAAAGGGTAGAGGAGGTGACAAAGAAGGCCTGTTGCACATTCACAGCTGGGCATCTGCTTCACTGAGGGAGATGTGTACGCTCCAAAACCCCCTGATTCTTTTGCTTTCTGTATTTTAACACAAACAGACTGATAGAAATGACAAATAATAAAGAGTTACAGAAATATTCAGTTATAAAGAATTACAATGATTCAGCCTAGAATATATAAATCCATGAAGCAGTTTTGCTGCATTACTTTGGGACAAGGTGTTTGTAATTTACGTGATACTGTGCAGATGGAAGTATACAGTCCTGGTAGATTTAAATGTGCAAGTTAAATAACAGGTCCTGGTCAAAAATCACATCAGAGTTATTTAATTCAATTCAGTTTATGGAGCGCCAAGTCACAACAGAAGTCATCTCAGGGCACTGAACAGAAATATTCATATATAAAAAATAATAATTTAACATTATTTATCTGAGGCGCAGACTGCTTTGAGTTTATCTCCATCACAGATCTCCCATCTTGAGCAAGCATGAAGGCGACAGTGGAAAGGAAAAACTCCCTCATGAGGAAAAAACCTTTAGCAGAACCAGACTCAGGACAAGCGGCCATCTGCTTCGACCGGCTGGGTTTGGCAGGAACAGATACACAATGGCAGGTTGAGAATCACATGTTGAGACAGAAATAATATCAAATGAGAACAATTCAGTTGTAACAATTCATTTTAAGGACATGAGGTCAATTTGTCCTCCAGTAGTCTAAGCCTATAGCAGCACAACAACCCAACCCTAACTATAGGATTTATCAAAAAGGAAAGTCTTAAACCCAGTCTTAAAACTGGACAATGTGTCAGCCTCATGGACAGAAACTGGAAGTTGGTTCCACAAGAGAGGAGCCTGATAACTGGAAGATCGTCCTCTCATTCTGCTTTTGGAAACTTTAGGAACTGCAAGTAAACCTGTAATCTGAGAGCAAAGTGCTTTATTAGGAAAGTATGGAGTAATAAGATCTTGAATATAAGATGGAGCTAGGTTGTTGAGGACTTTGTAAGTTAAAAGTAAGATTTTGAATTCAATTCTGGATTTGACAGGGAGCCAATGGAGTGAAGCTAAAACTGGAGAGATATGATCTCTCCCACTAACTCCAGTTAAGACTCTGGCAGCAGCATTTTGGATCAACTGAAGACTTTTTAAAAGAAGAATTTGGACACCCAGATAATAAACCATTACAATATTCCAGTAGTTATTAATATCAGTACTGGAGGCCAAGTTGATGCCATTCAGAAAATGTGAAAGGTTGCAACGTTTTAAACTATTTTCAAGAATGTATTGCCAGCTTGGCATCTCCACAGGTCATCCAGGAAAAATAAACAAAAACAAAAAAGCTCTTTGTCCAATTTATAACTGCATGACCTGACTTCATACTTTGGGCTCAAACAGCAGCCAAGCTGGATGACAGGAAAAGGCAGCAGAGCTGGTGCAGACTGACACCGTGAAAGAATCTGACGACTTGGCAAAGAGACAAATCAAAGCTTTCAAAATCGTATGCCCGCGCAGTAAAAGCTTGCATTAAGTCCCAGCGCATCGATAAATTAGACCCAGGAAAGAAGAGTCAGGCTACTGATCAAAAGTGATCATGCATTTCCATCAATGCAGCATCAAAGTGTTCAAAGCACGTGTGAATGCCAAGAGCATCTTTAATTAAACAAAGTGTTGGTCAGTGCTCCATTTTCATACTCCTCTGGTTTTGTCTTTTAGTGCTGTAAGCATGCTGTGCATGGAGAAAAGCATCTCACACAATTTAATTGCGAAGTTTTGTCAGCTTCTAGAAAAAAGTCTCATCAAAGTGTTGATTATACAATGCCATTATGTAAAGGCGCTTCAGATAAAAGCGGCAGCTTTTACTGCCCATTTTTATGTCTACACTTCTCGCTGCTGGGAAGAACAAACTTGTTCTCTTGTCCACATTCTCATCTAGGAGATTCAGTCCCATTATGTCAGATGACAGAATGATGCATGCACTCTGACGATAACGCTGTATTGTTCTGAAAGCCCCTTTACTGTGGCCTATTTGCAGAACAGAAGCTGATGGAGAAAAAGGGTTGCATCCTCAGAATTATTGGGGAAGCTGATGAGGAAAAACACTCATGAACTGAGACGTTTTGGTCAAGCCTTGAAAATCATAATTGTAATATTATGCACTATTGTGCGATGTCACGCTCAAAGAATGACTCTCAGCTACTTCCACATCAAATATTATCTGTAAAACTGACGGTTGTAGCCATTTCTGTGTTTTTAAAGTCAGTTGGCTGTGAGAGACGTTTTAAGCCTGATTGGCTCCTGATTTGACACACTCAACAGACAATGGCAAAATTATTATTGCCCGCTGTTCACCACTTTTGCTTCGATCGATAATTAATTTTCTTTGACAGCTTTAAACATGCTCTGCATCCTCTCATATACCATCTTCTCTCTTCTTGCCACTACAGACGAGTGTGCAGATTCCCCCTTCCTCTCTTCCTCTTGCTTCTCCTGTCAGCAAGAACACAGAAACCGTCTACACTTCTGCACATATCTGCCCTTGAAGATTTGACATTGCCACATTGTCGGACAGCGACATTGTATTTTACTTCGTCCTTCTCATCCTCAGCTCAGTCCGAACTCGTAAAGAAGTTTTCTGAGCATTAACTTTCTCAAAATTGCTATAAATCTGACTCAAAGACGTTCATTTGGAGCTTTGAATGCATCGCTGACAGTGACATTTAAAGATCTCTATGCCACTCTGGGTAAACTTTGAATGGATGTGGGTCATTAACAGAAATATAAATAAATAATTTACATGTAAAAATTTATTTTTTGTTCAATGTCAGTGTTACAGTTTTTTTTTTTTCATGACTTCTCTGAAACTAACATCATTGGAGCAATAATTACCAATATACTGAAACTAGTCCAAAGTATACGTTTTACATGTTTTCTGGTGTGTTTCACATTGTGTTTTTATATTGAGGAGAACTTTTAACAAAAAGACAGTTTCCTCCAGTAGTTTTCCACATATACATATAATTCTGAAATGCAGGTCCACACTCAATGTCAACAAAGCCCTCAGCTGAGCCGAAAACCCCATGGAAGCTTGGGCCATGTGACTGACCTACATTAGGTTAGCCATAGTCTGTGTTAAACAAATAAGTAGAATCGAGAATATGTTTTGGTGGAAATAGAAAAATGAATCTGCTGCTAAAACCAAAAGAAAAGAGGAAGATCAAGAGAAATATCAGAAGAATATATGTCAGGGATCAAGTGGTGCAGCTCCAAAAAAAGCTTGACATTCAAACACACAAACCAGTAAATTTACCATTTCAGCATTTTTTGTCTTCTTTTTTTTTTTTGTGAGTGATGCGTCATAACCTCAGAATATGGTGATGGACATCCTCGGTGTTACAATAAAGGGTAAAAGTGTAAAAAAAGTGATAAAATTATGAGACAACAGCAAATTTCAGGCTTAAATATTTGAAGAGCACCATGTTGAAGTGTGACTACATTTCCCCAAAAACCTGATAAATTACACTCATTTTCAAGTAAGTCACAATTTAAATGATCTTAGAAAACTTTGACATACTTTACTTAACAAATATGAGGGTAAATACATTATATAACAAAATTACAGGACTTCTTTCACCATTGTTGCTCTGTTTTTAGTAACTGTGGATCCAACAAAGTTCAGTCAGGTCATCTGGACCGTTTCTTTTTTTTTTGTTGAGACGTTTCATCCTTCATCCAAGGAGCCACAACAAACTGAGTCCCACAAGCAGCACACTCTCATAGTGGGCCAACCAGTTTGCTGGTGATAAGATGGTTTGTGGGGCCCGCCCTCTCCCCCGTCGACTCCTCTGAGGCAGCCATAGTGGTTCAAAACATCAGTCATGACCTGATTGAACTTTGTTGGATTTTCTACTTGGATTATTGAGCATGAACTTTGATCAGAGTCAGAGAGATTTATTTGTCATACACACCACATGTGGTACATTACATCCAACAGTAGTAAAATGTAAAATAAAAACAGTAATAAGATCTAAGACATGAACTAATAAAAACATCAAGTAAAATACGCTAAGCACTAATAGCATAAAAACAATATGCCGAACATCAGCACGAACATGAGTCTACCGTGGCTGTTTCTGTAGGTAAACAAATGCATGTGGTAGTTGACATCTATAGGTTTTGCTCACAAAGTTATAGGGTAAGGACACTTTACCCATCAACGGGAGAAAAACTTCTGCAGATTTTGTTTCTAATGTTTTATAAAAAAGAAAATAATAAATTAGCAGTTCTCATGACGTTGCAATGAGTACCTTCAAACCTCCGGCTTGCTGGTTGCAGAAAAGTAAAATTAGACTTGGGGGACGTACATCTTGAATATTGTCACCATCATATCACAAAATGTGAGCGTAAAGAAGCTTTTGGTGAGGCTTGCAACAATCCATTTGCAACATTTCAGCGTGGAACAAAGACTCCAGCAGTAATGTCCTCAGAACAACCAGTCGGCTTAAACCACAAAATTGCACTAACAGCTGCAGCCTGGTTTGTAAAACGAGTGGTTTTAGAGTTAGAGGATGAGCCATTCCAACATACTCCTAGCACTTTACCACTCATAACATGCAGTATTAATATGAAATATGCATGGTGGCATCATGCATGTCACAGAGTGCAGTTTATTGCACCACATGTCATCTGTTGTCCATATGCAGTCACTGCATCTCTCTCCAGAGGTGACTTCAAAGAGAAATAAGACATAAATCACAAACAATGCTATTGTCCTGTCCGGTCACATCCAGGGCCGTTTTTATGCCCGCACATGGCGCAGGTTTGAGCTAAAGAAAGAAATGACCATTCAAGAGCTCCCCCGCTACCCCCCTTAAGAGGCAGTCTCATTACGCTCAAAGGGCAGAGGGGTCACTGTAATGAAGCTGATAGAAGAGCCGCTAAGCCCTCCACGCTGCATCACACATTACAAAAACAGCAAAGAGCTTGATGCTATCAGCGTTGTTAAGCGAGTCACTATAGCAGGATTATTTTTATATGCACATTTACAAAAAACAAAAAGAGGATTACCTCATCTTCACCATCTCCCACCCTCACCTCACTGTTTGACATGAATCCTGTACAAAATAAGCACGTGTCTGGTGCTAGAGAGGATGAGGGGTGCGTGTGTGTGCTAAAATTAGATCACCGAAACACTAAACAAAATTCTAATCCTGCGAGCACAGTCACCTGCACGATTGCTACATTTCTGAGCACAAGCAAGAAAGAAGAATAAAAAATTAGGGCGAATAACAGTCAATAGAACTGGGAGCGCTCGGTCCCCTCCCACTCAGCCACAACTCTCGCTCAGGGTGATTTGAACATGAGAGGAAGGCGAGTGTGCCCACTCCTCTTCTGCCATGTTGTCGGCAGGAAACATATGGAACGCCTGGTTGAACTTCTGCCTGGCATGAGAGACCAAGCTGCCAGGTGAAGAAGCTCCATCTATGGTTGTTATTGGATATTTATACTGAGCCTTGGGATTGGGATGGGATTAAGTGATGACACTCTGGAGAGAAATAAAGTCTATTTGCATGTTTTTTCCCCCCTTCCTCAGTTTACTGCCTTTTTTATTTATGCAAGCCCTTAATTTCCTCGTAGGACTCCGGCTTATGGATGTATTTCATTTCTCGCCTCAGCACAAAGTTGTAGAAATGTAGCAGAATCTTTGGGATGACCTCATCCTTTTCCAGCACTTCATATCTGGCGCTTTTCAGCCTCAGCAATTTGATCGATTCGAGACAAGCCCCTGAGGCATATAGGGTCAAGCCCCAGCAGCTTTTGCGCGATCTGACCAGAAAGCGAGATCACAGTCCGGTACATTTGCCTCTGTGCATCAGCTTCATCTTAGAGATCAATAGGATATTATTATCAAGACAATCGTAGGCCTGGCAGAGCTGGACCGGTCATAATAAGGTCTGGTGCAAGGTATTAAACCTTGTAAATCAATAAGTGCATAACTTTTGAATTTATTTTGCCCCGACCATAAACGTGTGTGTCTTTCAACTTGTTCCCAGAATGCAACGCTGCACATATAGTATGTCCTCTTCTAGGTTAAGTCAGCTTCTCTGTTTGTGTCGGTACCACTCTGTTATAGATGGCAGAATGCATTTAGCTCAGGCGTAAATAATGATTGATCAGTTTTAGAAGGGATTTGTGAACGTGTAAACATTTGTTCAGGCACATTGAACGGCTTTCTAAGAGAATAGCTTTATGTCCAGCAGAGGAAATCACAGGTAAAAATCTGGTTTTGCACCATGTCCACCCCCCCCCCCCCCACCCCCCAGGCACTTGTAATTTAAAAGAAAGTTAAAGAAGTTGGTAAAACGACTTTTCGTGTTCGAGGGAAAGACAATGGAGCTCTGTCTTTCCAATACTTGGACACTTCCTCTCACCATAATGTCCCTGTCAGATGGAATTAAAGTCTTTCCCAGCATCACATTATGTACATAGTGAGAGCACAGAGAGAGACGTTTAAGCAGCACTTAGCATATTAGCCTTTTGACTGAGTTGTCCTTGGACAGTGACACGTCTCTCCAAGCAGTCCCCTTTCAACCTCACTCTTTGCATCCTAACCCTCATTTGCTGAAACAGGGCTTAGCTCATGTAGGCCTCATCTCATTCAACGCCTTCAGTGATGCAGCAGGGTGAGTGGCATGGGTTAGTCACCAGTACGTCTCCTAACAGGCATCGTTGATACCGATTAGAGCCATGCTGGTTTCGGGGATGGAAGCAGGGGGAGGAAAGGCTGCCAGCGTGATTGCCTGCTGGGTCACAGAGGGCTGCAAAACTCATTTTCTCAGCTCCCACCATTTCACAGTGCATGACGGGAAAGCGTTAGATAAGCTCAGGGCACCTTGTAGGCTTCTGAGCTGAATCCAGCTAAAATAAACAAGAGGCACTAATTGAACGCCGAAGTGCTTTTTAGTTTGTTGGTCACGAGTGATCTAGCTAGCACGTGCTCACCATCTTATCTTTATAGCTTGCGAACACTGTATTCCATTTAAAGATGATTGCAGATAAAAATTCAGAAGCTACTGGCTGAAGTGGATTTGTTAATCGGTCATTAACATAAAAAATATATATATATTATGATGAAAAATAAGGATTGTCCTTCATTTCTCAGTACTAAACTCAAGGTGTGAAGTCATTTTCTGTAGGACTGTGTTTTTGCAGCTGGCGTTGCAATAAAAAGATACCGTGGTGGCATATCCATGACATTTTGCACAGGGATGACTTTCATCCTCATGAGTGCATCAGCCTCAAAACCCCTTTTTGAGTTTAGAATTATAATATCCTCATTAATGCAGAAGGCGAGAAAGAACAGGAAGAGTTATTTTGGACAAAGTTCGTATGTGACCCATCACGTTTCAAAAATTTGGGAATTCTGTTGCAACATTTGGCTGTAGTTATTAAGATGCTCCGGTCAGCAAAGTGATTTTCCAGGATGTCCTCATCAATGTGATCCACCTAAAACTATAATAATAATAGTCATATGACTTAAGTCCGAGTGATTATCTCCTAGAGCAGCTGTGCAGCCAAGAAAACGAGATGTAGTGTATTTAATTCTTTCCCTTCGCTTGAACAGAAAGTAAAGCTGAACATACAGTAAACCTGAGTCAGTGGCTCAGCAAATGTGTCCGAAGATTAACTGGCAGCCCTCGCTGCAATCAGAGGGTGCACTAGCTACTAATTAGGATTGGATATTAAAGGCTTATAAGAATTTGAAGGATAGTCTGTTATGGTATACTTGTGAGTGTGTGTGAATGTGTGTTTGTGCATTTTGTTGCTAATGCAGTGGAAGCCTGTAGGCGCTGGCCAGCACGGCCGTGCGCTCATCTGTAAAAGGGCACGGAGAATGAGTAATTCTTAATTGACCAGATATCCTTCATTACACATGCGCTTACAAACCCATCCGCTCTCCTTGGAGCTGTTTTCAGAGGAAGAAGCTCGTGACAGCCGTAAGGCAGTGGAATGTGGGGCATTCACATGTTTGGGATGTCAGACACAGAACAGCTCGGAGAGAAGCCATTTGAATTGTTTTTACAAATTAAAATATCTGAATATTTTATTTGAATACACCTGATCAGAGAGTTGCACAAGAAATTTGCTTATATTCAAAAAATAAAGCTACTGTTGATCAGGTGTTGCTGAAAGTGTAGTTTCTTTAAACTGAATATTTCTCTCTCCACAGGGACATTTTGAATCAGGCAGGCTGTCGCCCTTTCGGACCTGAGAATGTTTCGCAAGAAGAAGAAAAAGAGGCCTGAGATTTCAGTGCCGAAAAACTTTGAGCACCGCGTCCACACCTCGTTTGACGCCAAGCGGGGCTGCTTTGTGGGCTTGCCGACACAATGGCAGAGCCTGATAGAGAACCTGCGGAGGCCAAAACCCATGGTGGACCCCTCCAGGATCACAGAGGTGGAGCTGAGGCCGAAGAAGGTGTGAAGGCCACACCTTCCGTTTCCAACAGATATCATCATGACCATAATGAGTTGTCCTTTTATAAACAAAAACCCCAAAAAGACGAGTGTTTTTTAGGAATTATATATAATAAATGACCCTGTATATATTATATACAAGGTCTTTAGCCCAGCCTGGTGATAGATTAAAATACAATGTCCCTGTGGAGAGAGAAATATTCAGTTTAAAGAAACTACACTT